CACCAACCTTCCGACGTACGAGGGGTGGGTTTTGGTATACTCTAAAGGTAATTTGCATTTTCTAAAGGCAATCTGCATACCAAAGGGCTCGTTTCCGTGAGACCTTTTGGTGTGTCAGCTATAAAGTGTCTGGAAAGCCACCTTCATAACTTGCCGTATCCATTCGTGATCGCTACGACACCTCCCAGCTTTTCACTGACGCTGTGTACGAGATCTTCTTCCAATGGAGTTGCGCCGATACCCAATTGTCTCGGTGAGCTAAGATCATACCTCTTGTAAATTTCGGTTTTCAGGATTGCATTGAAAATTGGTGGAACAAGCCATGTCATCGTGACGCGATACTTTTCGATTGCAGCAGCGAATTCATCAAGGGAAAATCGGGGCAGGATTGCCTGGGTCACCCTCTATGGAGAAAGAGTGTAAAGGATGCTTGCAACTCCTAAGTTATGGTACATGGACATTACCGATAGTACCACGTCAGTTATCTGTAATGCGTTATTGTGCATGTTGTCCAATTGACAAAAATTGGCTACGAAGTTATGATGATTTGTCATTACACCTTTGCTTGCACCAGTTGTACCGCTGCTGTAACACATTAAGGCAACTTTGTGTGCTGAATCTCCTTCGAATTTTTCAGGTATACCGCACTGAGCCTCATCACATAAGAATGGGGTGTACGAAACGTGGTTGCTGACGCTTTTCTAGGTCGTTAATACTACCCTCTCACGTATCTTGCTTTCTGAACATTCCATCTCCACCAGTATCTTGTTTGTTAGATCGATGTTGTCTGGATGTACGAAGAGGAACGAAACATTGCTGTCTTTGATATGATGGGATAGTTCCAAGTAGTTTTATCCAGGATTTGCAAGTGATGCACATGCCCCTGCTGCAGAGGTGCCCAAGAAGAGAATGGGATAGACAAGTGAGTTTCGACTAAGTATAAGTACTCTGTCACGTCTTCCAATGTTGTGGTATTTCCTCAGCCATACGCTAGCTGTAAAGAGGATTTACGAAGCTGAGAATTCGTGAGAGAAACGTCGTTAGTTGGTTCAACGAAGACAGTTTTGTCGCCTAAAAGCTGCTCCTCCGGGAGAGTGAAATCGAAGATGCTCGTTTTTGGTATTTCTATGTCAGTGTTGGGAGACTTGATCATGACGAAATGATCGATGTGTCAGTTCTTAGTGACTTATCGAAATACTCTTAGATATGCGCTTTAATGTGAAAATTGCTGCGACAAAGCCCTTGGGCTGCGGAATTTTCAAGCACTCACAAGCTGCACAAGTATCATTATCCAAATTGCGCGCTTTTCAACAAAATCTTAGCTATACTACTGCCAGGCATTCTTCGGCTGTCGCTTAGAGTGACTATACGCTGATAGTTGAAGGAGCGCGAAATGAAATGTTCCGTAGCTAAAAAAGGAAAATCGTAAAAATGAGATACTTTCAGCTAATAAAGCTCGTGTTTATTCATCAAGCGTTTTCCTATCTCGCGAAATGGACCGCAGCACCATCACACCCTTGCACGTCAGCACATGAGCGGATTCGAGTGAGTCACACCACAATTAAAATCAAGACAATGTGAAACAAACCCATAATACTCTGGAAAAACTTTAAAAATCTCCGCGTTTCGATTTTGACTATTTCGGCTGCCCGTTTCACTCCAAGAGAACGTAATGTGAAAACTTTGTAATCAAGTGATCGAGTGCTTGGAGCTTAACGCACAGACGAAATTCCCTGATCGAATCTGCACTGCACACAACCTAATATAGTTTATACCTCGGCTACCTTTATCAATCAGGTACTAGCATTGCGGATTCTTCGAATGCAGCAATCAAGATTAAGTGGACAACTGGATTTAGATGAGCTTTTAACCGTCCGCAAAGAGCCACGACGATACGAGTTGGTTATCCTTCAGCATCCTGAGATCGCTCGAGCTACATCACCCTCCGAGAAAGATCGTCGTGTCGTAGATCCGCCGTGTATCTTGCAGCTGAGAATTTATGACAGTAAAGGGAATTTGGATGACAAGTGAGCTCGTCGGAGATTTGCCAGCCTAACCATTTGCATGTTGACGCCAGAAGCAGTGCAATGAGGTCACCCTTTTGGGTTGTTCATACGATGCTCGAAGGCTCTCATCAAATGCCATCTCAGCTCCTTCAGGGTCAACTTAGTTCCTCTGCGTCTTACGTCACAAGTGGATGGGCTCACGACGCCGGCTGTTATTTCATATTCGGGTGAGGTATACCACCGTACGAGTGTAATTCCTAACGTCGCACAGTGACCTTGCAATCACAACACCGGGCCTGTATCATTTGAAGTTTCTTCTCACTACTGTTCGACCTCTTCCGACGAGGCCGGATGAGCTTCCGGTATTGACGCAAACCCACGCCAATATGATACGCGCATATCCGCAAAGAGAGTTTCCAGGAATGTCAGGTGAGCGTCATCTCGAAATGATGTGGTATATTTTAACGTAGTGCAGCTTCAACGGACTTGGTGAAGAGTCTGGCTGAGCAAACTTTGGGACTCTCGGTCCGGCATAGTGACCACAGAAATAGATTTTACCGTTCGCAAAACTACTAGGCATATCTTGGTAGTATTAATTTACAATTCGGCTTGCTGGTGTCGTCTAGATCTCGTTGCACGCATTATAGACCCTCCTTTTTCATTACGATAGACATGTAATATACATATTCTAATTGAATGTCCGGTAACATGTAATACAACGACTATTAAGCGATCAAAGTACAGCTTGCCAATTTGGAAGTGATTTACGTCAAAGATGATTCACCTTCCTAAAGTGGTCTTATTAGGTTGATAAAGTGTGTTTCACAGTCACGCCGCATGTAAGTATATTGTTTGATGAACATGAGTGTAAGCTTTTCCTGTCGACACCATTAAATGCGAATCAATTTTATTGCCCTGCTGAGCATTGTATCATGGATATCTGCCCAAGAAACGCCACAAGCAACCAACGCTGTAGAGCCTGACCAGTCTGGTGAAAACGCAGAGCAGTGCACACCATATTCGGCACCTATAGTCCAAGATAACCTCGGGCAATTTCCACCATTATGGGAAACAGCTAAAATTGTTCAGGGCGACACCACGGCTCAGAATAAGTATGACGAGATCAAGCAAGTCATTCCGTCGAGCATCAAACCAAAGGGCACGCACGACGGCAATATCTCTGACGTATCCTACGATGCATCCGATCCCGACTGCTGGTTCACGAGCTCAAAATGTACACATCCAAAGGTTGATGGTCTTTCAGACGATTTGGCTACCCTACCAGAGGTGAGCGTGGATTCTGTTTCCTAAAAATTTTCCTGAAACAACAACTCACACAACAACAATAGCCTAATACATGGGGTTTAGGCTTTGATGACGGTCCTAACTGCAGCCACAATGAATTCTACAATTTCCTCAGCGACAACGACCTCACTGCGACAATGTTCTACATAGGCTCAAACGTGATGAACTGGCCACATGAAGCGCAACGGGGCAGAGAAGACGGACACGAGTTGTGTGTTCATACGTGGTCGCATCACTACATGACTTCGTTCGATGACGAGGGTGCATTTGCTGAACTCTACTACTCAATTCAGGTAGGATCGCCTTGCTCAAAAGTAATGTCACTCTGATACTTCCCCAGGCCATCAAACTAGTCACTGGCGTCACACCAACCTGCTGGAGACCGCCATTCGGCGACATCGACGACCGCATCCGCATCATCGCTGAGGGTCTTGGTCTCAGAACCGTTCTATGGGAATTAGACACCAATGACTGGAAAATGATCAATGGTAAGACTAAGGATGATGTCAGAAAAAATTATCAAGATGTTTTTGATGCGGCCGAGAGGGGCATCTTTGAAGACCATGGTACTATTGTGCTGACGCATGAAATCACTGCTGAGACTATGGAAATGTTCATTGAAATGTATCCCAATATCAGAGACAACTTTGACTATGTTGTTCCACTATCTGTCGCCACCAACAGAACTAACCTTTACGTGGAGGAAGAAACGGAGAGAGGTGAAGTGTTTGCTGACTATGTTAACGATCATTACGGTTCGACGGTAAATCAAGCGACAAGCATCAACACCAACATACATCCAAACCCGACTCTGACGGGATGGCAGGGTCCTTTGGCAACTATTGCTAACCCTACGGTTGCTGAAGTGGAAGCTGCTACCGAGCCTACGACTGCCAGTTCAAGCAGTTCAAGCAGTGCAGGCAGTAGCAGTGTGAGTAATGATAGCGGCAATGATGATGAGGAGGATGTTGAGGATGATAAGACTGAACATAAAAGCGACGACAACATTCCTAGTCAAAAATCAAATCCATTTGTGTACAACTATCCACAAAACACGCACTCGAACAATGGTGCTAGCTCGGGAGGCCACACTTCGATTACTAAACCGGTCTTCACGATGGTGGCACTGTTCGTTGTCACCATGTCATGCATTAGATAACAAAGCACTCTCTCAACAGATTCTCAAACTATTTTGGTGTACCCTTCGAATTTAATTCACATTCTATTTCTCATCCTGTCATATTCCAACGAGTGTGTTTGTAAGTTTGTTGAGTCTTTCTTATATTCTGCAATCCGTTTGTGTACTCGTTTGCTTTCGCTTACAATCGCTCGATTCGCCGTATGCTCGCTAGAAAGTGTGATGAGTGGACGACTGCGAAAAGATCCGCGAGGCACGTTAACAGTAGTAAAAGAAGAATTTCAATGGACTTCTAGTCTATCTTGAATACATTCCTTTTTGAGCAGGTTTTGAAAGCGAATCTAGTTAGTTCGGCGGAACTTTCACGTCGATTTTCAAAGAGAAAAAGACCTTACGTCAACTCATCATACTAATTTCATTCTAGCAAGACAGAATGAATGTCTTATAATTTGATTTTTGCATCCGCTAAGGAGGTCTAGGAGGTTCAGGGGGTTCAAAGAGGTGCGGATGTGGCGATGAAAGTAAGCGCCAAGTCAACATGCACCATTCTATGAGAAACTTTGCCATTTGCTTTGATCTATCACCTTCTAGCCATCAAATTAAAAGTAATTACTTGGAGTGGTACCGAATGCAAAGATCGGAGCGAATTTGGTCGAATTGAGAGGCCATAGTCTCACATTAGTATTTCTGTCTAATTTGAGACTGATTTGAGCTAATCTGGCTTAAGCCCATGGTACCTCATCGGATGTGTACGGGGTAAACCATAGCAATTCCATATGGCTACGTTAGTGACTTTGCAGCCTATATAGAATCCAAAGCAGACCCAAAGGGTGGGATATGTTTTGGACAGACGTCATCGGCAATTCTGGATACGACTATCGGCTTTGTTATGTTGCTGTCAGCTTACTTGATATCCAGACTCAATTTCAACAGCCTTTTGCCCAAATTTCCGCTCGGAAGTAGCAGTGTTGACTGAATTGGGGAGTCTGCGATGGACGAATCTGACATTTGAAGATGCCTTTATTAATTGACAGTAAAATAACTGTCAATTAGCAGGGCTGTTGATATCTGGAGCTCTCAGCGCCATCTTCAAATCTCCACCAAATTACCTGCAACATCTGATTATTGTCATTTGAAGGGTGAAATGGAGCTCAAAATAATGATAAAAGAGATTCTATAAGAAAACAACCCCGTAATCGATACTGTCTTTTAGTAGGAGCCTAAGAGATTATTGCAAAGATGACTATGAGCTGCAGCAAATCGGAAGTAAAATCAGAAGCTGCATTCGTTTAAAAGAAATAAAAGGACGATGTGTCAATGATTCGATGTAAGTATTTCACGTAGTCTCTTCGCTCTCCTCGGGCCACCTCACAGCTGATGAAGATGCTCGGTCTATGCCAGCGAAGATCCGGTGGCGCAATAGAAGATGCTGGAATGAATTTGTAAATAGCGAAAATAACATGAATTAATTCACAACGCAATATCAATCCTTGGTTATCTAGCTCATCTGTCTTCTCTGGTTCATCCGGCTCGCTTAGCTCGTCAGCAACTCCAATCAGATTCTTCGAATGCAGCAATCAAGATCAAGTGAACAACTGGATTTAGATGAGTTGCTAACAGTCAGTAAAGAGCCGCGCAGATACGAGTTCATCATTCTTCAGCATCCTGAAATCGCTCGAGCAACGTCCCCTTCGGAGAAAGATCGTCGTGTCGTGGATCCGCCGTGCATCCTGCAGCTCAAGATATATGACAGCAGAGGCAATCTCGATGATAAGTGAGTTTATCGGAGATTTACCAGCATAATCATTTGCATATTGACGCCAGGAGCAGTGCAATGAGGTCACCCTTCTGGGTCGTGCAGGCGATGCTAGAGGGTCCGCATCAAATGCCATTTCAATTGCTTCAAGGCCAATTAGCGTCTTCTGCGTCGTACGTTGCTGCTGGTTGGGCTCACGACGCTGGCTGTTACTTTGTTTTTAGGTGCAGACTACCGTGGAGTTTTGTTTTTCTTTTCTGACAACGCACAGTGACCTTACAATCACGAAACCAGGCCTGTACCATTTAAAATTCGTCCTCACTACTGTCCGCCCTTTACCCGCCAGGCCGGATGAGCTTCCGGTCCTTGGTGAGGCTCACGCCAAAGCGATACGCGCATATCCGCAAAGGGAATTTCCTGGAACTGCAGGTGGGCGAATCTCAGCATTCTGTGACGTCTCTTACGCGCCACAGCCTCGTCTGATCTCGCAAAGAGTCTGGCTGACCACAAGGTGTCCATATCCATCAAGCTTGTCGACAATCGCAACCCGTCTAATCGCACTTAAAATATAAATACCCTCTAATGTTCCCAATAAAAGTCTTACGTCACAGTCACAGTCACCCTATGCATGCATATGCACAATTACGCGTCGAGAAGCGATAAAACGATATCAATATACCAATCATCAGCCCAACTTAACGCGCACAGTAAATTGCTTGGACGTGGTCGGCGATAAAGGTCGTTAATAAGGTTTGAGGCGGTGTTTCATGTCTTGCGTTCCTGCATCGCCGTGATCACATGCGAAGTGCTTTGGCACACTAATCCTTTATCGAAACTCTGGTGTTCTCCAAAGATGATTGCATTCAAGAGTAAGAGCGCCTCCACATTGATATAACGCCTAAGACTACCCGCCATGAATAAATTTATCTATGCGAGCATTTGCGGCAGCGCAGATTTTGTAAGACACAATAATAGTGCCCGAGGTAGCTGAAAACCATCTCAGGCTGTGTTATCGACTTTGAGGACAGAGGACCAGAGAGATATTCAATGGTGAAAGCATATCAAACTGTAGTCGACTCAATGAAGATTGAGCAAATAGAAATAAATGGTTGTCGTCAATATTACAATCCCTCCAGAATATTCAAGTTTTTGCCGTGTTATAGACCGGTACCTCAATTAATTTCGGCATGGCCCTTCCGTTACTATATTTCTCCTTTTTTGTGTAAATCATGCAATCCTCATTTGTCGCAACTTTCATACCTCAGGTTCATGAAGAACACGTGAACAGGATTAAGGAGCTCATTGTGTTGTACGGTGAGCGAACATCTCGCTCTGTAGTTCCACTAATGATTCAGGCGGCAATATCAGACATAGTCAGAATCTCTGGCTGGAATTTGAAATTGACGATTCAACGCTCTTTTGGACCAGCACCAAGAACGACCCTTTTATTCGCAATATCTTCAAGGCTATGCCAGTGAGACGCTAGGGAGGAGTGCTGCTATACATGAGACCCAAAATCAATTCTGTATATCTAATACTTTTTTTTTTTTTTTGCTGAATCAGCCCATCAGCCCATACCTTTGTATACCCAAATAAGGTTCGGGGCTAAGTCGCCCATAATCACGCGCAAACATTTTCCAAACTAATTATCTAAGAGTATCTCATCGGAGTTTTTCGTAGCCAGCTTCTTGATCGTGGGTGTGTTACAATCCAAGTTGAGGAAAACTCACACGTATAGGCTAGATGGCAAGTGAAGCCTGGGGTCGCGAGCTGATTAGAATATATGAAGCTATAGAAATATAGTCGATCGTGCGCTGTGATCGCACTATCGAAGCACCTGGCCCCGAGGACGGGTGGACAGATCCGATCTCCAACCCCAGATCGCTCTCCATTCAGAACAGTAAGCTGTTCAAGTCATCGGTGCAGTCAAACTGGAAACGAAGAAGCTGAGGTGCCAGAACGTCAAAACGTCACGAGCATAAATGAAGCATACGACACTCAATTTATTTGAACAAAGCGGTGATTCATGATACATTGTTGTACAATAAAACGTAAGCAATAACAGAAAAGTTTTAAATTGAGCAGAAGTAGCAGCGCTGAATTGGAATCTATGCGACATTGTTGACAGTGTTAAAGCTGCTACCGTCAAAGACAGTACTTAGCAAAGCGCTCCAGTCGTCCTCACGCGAATCAAGAGATGGCATTAACGCATTCAAGGCTTCAGTGCCTCCCAGCCCTGCATCAAATTGATCGAAGTTGAAGTCCATGACGTCAGAAACGTGGTTTTCTTGAACATGATTGTCCACGTAAGGAAAGGTGAGTTGCGATTTAAATAGATATTCGTGAGCCTGATCAGGGTTGATATTGTTTGACAAGTTCCATTGATTTTTCAGGAATAGATGATCGAGTGGAACCTCCGCTTTAATCACAAGCTGTAGAATCATATCCACCGCTCTTCCCATAATTAAATCACGCGCCTCCATTTTCCTCAACACTTGAATGCCTTTCTGAATGTACTCCAAATCATTCTTATTGAGGTCACCATTTTTACGGCTTTCGCAAAAGCATAATACCAAAATCAAGCAGGCGGAGAAAGTCGACCAGCCTAAAAAACAATTACTGTGACACAATCCACGAGAGTTTGTGCCTGCCCGCTGAATATCGTCGAAAATTGAAATTATAGTGCGAGAGTCATTCAAGCAAATAAAAAGACTGGTAAGGCGGAAAGTGCTAAATTCCGCAGATGAGGGATCGGGAAGGAAGGATTTGTAGATGTAGCTCTGTGATGTGTGATACGCGATCTTCAAATAACACTTCATTTGGAAAACCTCTTCGTCATCAGATTTTTTCGCATCGCGCAGCTCCGATGGAAGTTTATTGTACCACCCGTTCAATCTGGAGTTTAATGATGCAATATCATTGTAAGACACTTTATAGCCTTCTTTCTCATTGCTTTTCAACCAATAGATAGATTTCAAAATGTCTTGGACGATTTTGTAGAGTTTGATGGATTGGTTCATGTAGCGCACACTAAGTCGACTTTTAGAATCTGTCTCGATTTCAGAGGGTAAATCCAAATTGATGTCGTCGTAGCTGATCAGCTGAAAGCGGCCGAGTGCAGCTGAATTAGATGTATCAAGGATAAACAACGCCCACATCGCCCTGTTTCGAGATTCCTGTTGGTAACTGTCTTCCTTTGAGTCGTTCCATTTGATATTGAGACCAATATCTTGAGCCAAAAGCATGGCATTTCCTGAAATTAACCAGCTACTTTTGGGATACAACCCATTCTGCACATACAGCTGCATCAGAATCATTGCTTGGACGTCTTGTAGCGAGGCTACAGTGCTTATTTGATCAATGAATTTTTCCCGTGCTATCAAATAGAATTGATGTCCAGCCAGGAATTGAGTATCTTCTCTACCTGGTATTAAAACCCTCTTATCGCCCATCAACATGTGCTGTGAACCGAGTGCGCAGACCATAATCAATAAGCTACCAAAACTACGCTCCAGTTTGTGTTTTGGTATGTCGAGAACAAATCGCTCACGGTTAAGAAGAGGTAGTGTAACGTTCACCTTATCGAAATACGCGTTTATTAGTTCATACATGAGATTTTGGTCACCAAAATCATCATGCGTGTAGGGCGCTTGAGAGTGCCGCATAGTCTGCGTGATGAATTCTTCATTCCAGAATCTAGATCTCATCTCAGTGTTCAGATCTAAAGCTGTGAAATCGGCATGGAGGGTGATGCGCTTGACGATACCTTTCATCGACGATTTTCCAAAACATCTCGTCCGTTCCTTTTCATTGTCTTTTACTGGTTCATCGTCAGGTTTGAAGAAGAGAGCGCTCATTTTCTCCGTCAGTGATTCAGTGTCGCGATTGTCGCGGTTACTGCGCTCGAATTTACGTTTGTGGGAACCTTCGCTGGATGGACTTCCATCACTCATTGCGCTTGGTGGTAATGGGCCGAATGTCGCCTCGTACCGCTCGAGCTGTGGGTGTGAGAGGGGTCAATATGATGTTTCGTGGCTCACCTTTGCTTCTAAATCGTTAACGTAGCGCTGCGGTACGCCTTTCTTAGGTGCTGGATTATTGAAAGTGCATTCTCCTTCTTTGCAGTTGCTGCACTGGTTTGGGAAGGTTTGGGGTGCATCGCAGCGCGCTTTCTTCTTTCTGCACGAGTCACAAGCTCGATTAATCTTAGGCTTCTTGGAAGCGCTGACGTTTGTATTCATTATTTCACTTGCGGTTTTAATCTCTTTCCTTCTGTGAATATCTTTTTTTCGGTAAAGGGAGTCTGAGAAGTATCAATTATGAACAAAATCGAATTGAAGCTGTGTCTTGAACGGAATTGGATTTACAATTGTGCTAGGTGATGGTGATAGTGGAAGATAACGATAAGGAGATCCGATGAGGGGTAAAGGACCTTGAATGGATGCAACAGCATTAAATTTTCAGTAACTGGTAAAGCCCTATTACCATTGCTCTATTGCTATCGCTTTATCGACTGACGCATTTATTCGGACAATCAATGCAGCCCGCTATGCAGCCAATGAAATTCCAATACAGCTGAATCCGGCTACAAATAAGCGAAATCCAGCAATGCTAAATCCAGCACCTCTACTACCTTTGCCAAACTACAGCAATTGCACACTGGGAACCGCGGGCACGGACCGGTCATTGGACGTTCAAATAAAGGCTTTAAGAATATACCAGGATAATTATGCAATGGTTTTTGTTTCTTGGCTCATCAGCGTTGGAGTCCAGCCTCAATCCCATCCCCTGATTTCGGATATACCCTTCATACTTAACGTTCCTTGCACATCGCCTTTACGGTAGTTTCTAGAACCCTGAGCTTCATTCAGTGATTTTTTATAGTAGTTATATTGACAACATCGACTATTCAACACTTCCTTTTTTATAAAAAACAAGAGGCTAGAAGCCTCGATTTGGATCTTGCGAAAGCGAAGATTTTTCACACACATTCTCAGAGCCTTGTACGTGAAACAAACTCAGACATGTTGTTAAGGTATCGAATTTGTGCTGTTCTAGCCTTTTTCATAATATTTGCTCTAAACAGCCGCAAAAAGCCCCCTAATGATTTTGAAAGCTGGCTGAGAATGTTCACGCCTGATTCAATTACATGTTATAGTTTTAACACTTAAATTTATATTTATGTTAATGAAGTACGCTTTCAACTGGTTTTGTAGTGTAGCGGTTATCACCGTGGATTTTGACGCATAAACTTCCATTAACCCCGGTTCGAATCCGGGCAAGACCTTTTTGCACATTGACTCGATTTATTCACTCTTCCCTGCAAATAAGTCATTAGACTGTCTGTTTCGATCTCATCAAATCCACGCGGGATGCACTTACAGAAAGACATAAAGTATATTAATAAATTATTATAGCCAGTCAACATTCATACATTTAAACAAATTGCAGTCATGCAAAAGCGTCAAATGTCAAGCATAAAGCACACTCACTCAAAGTGGCTCAATGTTTGGGTTTGGACCAAGTGGCACAACTCCAGTACCATTTATCTGGCGGTGCGAGTTGTAGTAGTGGAATTTGATGTGTTCAAAGTTAGTGGTGGACTTGAAGGCGTCGTTCTTCCAATACAACTTCTTCATCCAGGTGTTGATGTGTGGGTAGTTGTGTCTGATGCTGCCGAGGTTGCATTTGAAATGACCCACATAAACTGGATCGAAGCGTATAATCGTAGTGAACAGCCTGATATCAGCCTCTGTGAGCTGACCACCGACCAAAAAGTCTCTCCCATCTGACAAAATAGCCTCCAGCCTATCAAGAGATGCGAACAATGGCTTGACATTGTTCTCATAAGCTTGCTGCGTCGTAGCGAAGCCAGACTTGTACACGCCGTTGTTTACGGTATGGTATACCCACTCATTGAGCTCGTCAATCTCGCTTTTCAAATGATCTGGATAAAGGTCGCCGCCGGTGGTGTTCAAGTCGTTGAGGAAGCGAATTATTTCTGAGGATTCGTTGGATACGATGGTGTTCTGCTGCTTATCCCAAATGATTGGCACGGTGAATCGTGCGTCGTAATCTTTGTTCGCTGTGAAATATAGATCACGTAAGCTGACGTAATGTGAGAAATAGTGAGAGTAGTTGGAGTGACCTACTGAGTTGCTTGAGCGCCTTCAATAAGACAGCCAGTTGAGCCAGGAAAGTCTTTATCGAACGACCAGCCTTTCTCGCCAAGGAACGGGTGGACAACGCTGTAAGGCAAAAAGGCCTGTAGACCTTTGAGAGCACGGGTAATGAGCGCCCTGTGTGCCCACGGACAGGCATAAGAGACGACTAGATGGTAGCGGTTGCTCTGTGGTTCGAATTGTGTGCCACTCTTTATGGCGTCTCTGAAAGCGGACGTTTGTCGTCTATGTGAGGTGAGTATGTAGCAACGTTATGATAATCTATTCTCACCTGAATTCACCGTCTTTGGATGCCCAGTTAATTACAGATTTTGTAGACATTTTATTGATGAATGAGCGCATTGTTCGATGGAGATACACTAATTACGTTATGAGCAAAATTTAAAGGAAGTTGAAGAGCTGTTGGAATGCTGAGAATACTGGGAATATAAGGCACCAACAAAATCCCTAATTGCGATAACTTTTGAAATCTTTGACCTTGTACTCTAACATCTCAAACACCAACAACACTCCTGCCCAACGGTGCGAATCTCCCTCTAGATATCATAACAACAATTGCAGACATTATCGATAGTTACAACAAGCTTCTACAGGAGAGCTAACTTCGAAATCGAGACGAAGAAGACATTCTAACAATCAAGAATTGGATAGCTGCCCCTTGCAGACAGCATGCAGGGATAGTCGAGCTTATTTTGACAGCTTACAATATATATTTTTTACAACAATATCTGCAAAAAGTTGCTCAGCAGACTTGAATTTGAACGGATTCAGATTGCGATTAACTGATTCATTCCCCCACTTCTATCCCTTCCAATTTGAAGTGAGAGAATGTCTTCATTGTCGATCTTATTAGTAAAGGAGTCGAAATTCGACCTGTTCATTTCTCTTAACTCCACGTAGCAGCTTACGCAATTTGTATCTTAATTAAACCTAACCTACTTGGGGTAATTCGAAAATGTCGACAGTCAATGCACCTTACCATAAATTTTCAATTGCTTCATAAAAATCTGTGAATTTCAAGGTGCTTCGCTTTCAGATATTCTCAATCTGATGCCCGAGTTGAAAGCGCTCCACGTCCATCGTCAACCTTTAGAACATAAAACATTTCCGCCATTGCCAATACCACAAGAGATGAGACAATTGAAAAGTCTCGATGTTGATCACTGCAATATGGACCTTGATCAATGCCAATTACCAGGAAATTGAAACTACCACAATATGGCGAATTAGCGCAATATCGAATTGGAGAGGTGCTTCTGACAATTTAACTGTCTTTCAAACTAAACATTGTCTTGCTTGAACTGGAACATGACTTAGAGCAGAAATTTGAGAGCACTGAACATCTGTGGATTACAAAGTCCGAAGTTTATCTTGACATTTAACGAAGGTCACTTTGAGAGGGCTTTCCCAAGACTAGAATTGTTGAATTTATCGGCTATCTCCGACGGCATTGACATAAGAGCTCTGAATACCTTCATCGATGCACATCCATCTTTGACCACAGTTATTGATAAAGCTATGTTGGGATTAAACCGAAGCCATGTCTCAAGAAGCTCTTCTTTGTTAAGTATACACCGAGTAAGAGTCTTTATGACGATTAGACTGAAAGCATAATCTTTTCAAATCCTAACAACCCAATCAACGCTTTTCAATACCTATCAATTAGACATAAATGTATTAAATTTCAATCAATCAATCATCCAAGTGCCCAGCTGTCACTCCACTCATGAAGGTCACTAATTCACATCACGAGGCACGAATATTGGGAAAGGGGAGCTTTCATTTAATTAAATTAGGTTTTATTAAGGTCGCAGCAACTATCAGTATAGTTGAAGAAATTTCAGATACTAAGATCGAGCACAGTCTCATTTTCGCATTCCGCTCATGCTCTGTGAAGTGGAGGTCTTATGCGTTCATTCGGGCAGTTACGAGAGTCTGGGCAATTGACAAACGTGCAGCATGTAAAGTTGAACAGCTTATCGTTAACTTACCATGGTCGAAAAATTCACCCTTCCACAGATCACAATCAAAGACTTAATAGGGGCAATCCCGTGTGTCTCTAAGCTTTTACCCGGGTGAATGCTAACGTTATTTGCCACAGGAAGGAGTGTTTTCAGCGTTCAGCAATTAAGTCGAGTCGATATGTCTTACAGAATGTTTTACTAAGTGGCTTGCTAATCAAGGGAAGCGTGTACATTCCATACCTAACTCAGCTTTCAGGTGGATATTACACCTCCTCAGTTGTATCATCTGCGCTGTGGTCCTTTTTCTGGTTCGCTCAGGGCCTGTCGTTTACTGGATTGTGGGTGCTGGCACATGAATGCGGCCATTACGCCTACTCCAACCGTAAATATATCAACAACATGGTCGGATTTATTCTTCATTCCATCCTCCTCGTCCCCTACTATAGCTGGAAAATAAGCCACGCAAAACACCACGCTGGTATTGGACACATGAACAAAGATCAAGTCTTCGTTCCACAGACGCGTTCTGAAACTAGAGCTTTGACGCTAGACTACGAAAATGCAGACGAAAACGTCGTCACTGGTGTCGATGTGCCGGAAGAGGAGCAGCTAAGACTTTCAGAGGTCCTCGAAGACGCGCCGCTGGTGGTACTCCTCAATCTCCTCATTCAGCAGCTCGTTGGATGGCCGCTATATCTCCTCATGAATGTATCGGGCCAGCGCTATCCAAAGTGGACCAGTCACTTTAACCCATATGCTGCAATCTTTGATACGCGCCACTTTGGTCAGGTTGTGCTGTCTGATGTAGGTATTGCAGGAGTACTACTGGGGCTTTTTGTTTGGGGACAGCAGAGAGGATTCCGCGAGGTCGTGTTCCACTATCTCATACCATATCTCTGGGTAAACTGCTGGTTGGTCAGTGTCACATTCTTGCAGCACACTGACCCGAGTGTACCTCGCTACCGGGATGGTCTGTGGAACTTCCAGAGAGGCGCTCTCTGCACCATCGACAGAGTGTTTATGGGTCCAGTCGGTACCTATATATTGCATGGCATTTGCGAAACCCATATTGCTCATCATGTTTGCTCAAAAATACCACACTATAATGCCTGGAAGGCGACAGATGCACTCAAAACTTATCTCGGACCTCATTACAACTACTCGGACGAGAATTTCTTTGTCTCACTATACAAGACCTACCGCGATTGCGTTTTTGTCGAAGACCAAGGAGATATTGTCTTCTACAAAGACAGCAGGGGCAGAGCTAGCCGTATGGCTGAACTGAAACAAACCCAAGAAGTATCGGATTCAGGTGTCGAGTTGCAGTAGATGCAGAAGGATTTTATATAGGATATATGTTGCAACATTGAATGCTATTTGGATTTTCATATTAAATTTATTGCTTTTTCTTGCGTTTAACGATGCTATATTCACCTTGTCTTGAAGGCGTGGGTAAGCTTAAGTGAGAAAATTATATGGCCATCACGATAGCAAAAATATCTGACTTATTTCTGGTGTAATTTCCTGTACACAGTGGTGCATTTAAATACTCCAAACTTCCTTTAAGACTCAAAGATGAGAAGTTAATATTTGACATTCCTTAGCTAGTCAATATGAATTTTGCGACCATCTATGGAAGCATATGATTAGGATATTTAGTCAGTAACAAATTAGAAATGCAGGGAGCAGTTTCAAAGCTGAAAACATGACAGAGCTTTCGAAAGAGCTTTTGAGGATATGCACCGCCAGACAGTTCTCAGCAGTCTCATCGCGCAATCCGTCTTTAGCCCCAGGAAAAATCTCCATGAATTCCCTTAGCTGTCAAATCTGGTAATTTTAAGCTGTATCAGGAGCAGAAACGTCGGGTTGGACGGAAGCATCAGAAAGGTTTAATATGAGCAAGACAATTATAAGCTCAAATCATGAGATTTTAGTGTTGAAAATGCAGCTAAGACACAAAATATAAAGTTCACCATGACAAAAATCAGTTCTCACCTGACATCAATGAGATGTTCAACGAAAGACTATCAGGTAATTTATTACCATTATTGAAGGGCAAAACATACCTACTGAGTAATATGTATATGATATAGTTGCGTTGAACAGGTTTACTTATACGCACGCAAGGCTTTAACATGTTATTGGGGATTACAAAAACAATATAGATCCTGACAAAGCTTCTAAATAATTAAGAATATTTTATGCCAAAGACTTCAATCCCTCTCATCCAAAATGGGAAGACATCTTAGAAGATAACCATGAAGAAGATACGGATGGATTAGGAGAATTTTACACGGAAATAGATGGCTAAAAACATGCCTATACTAAACACGCTTGCATTCTAGTCACTTTCGCTTAATATCCGTCTATACGACACTGATTAACTTAATATCAATTGTCTCACATCACGCTTCAAATTTGCCATTCAAAATAGCTAATGACTCAAACCTCCCAGGGACGATTGGTCTGTGAGTTATTGCGACAGCGGCCGCTGATTGTTTATTTTCACTCATTTGAACCTCACCAGTCTTCTCATTCTCATGTCTAATGAATAGTGAGTTTTAAACATGAACGACATACTTCTAAACTTGAAGTAAAACGATAAGTGTGATTATTTGTTCTCTAAAGCAAGTATCATGTTAAGATTACAATTTGGCTTGATCAACAAAATAGCAATGCCGGCGAGCGTCTTCAAGTCCAACAATTCCGACTTTACGCTAGTGGCGCCCTCTCAAAGGCCGAAATCCAATGCAGAAGTTTCCTTTTAAAGTTATTCAATCAGGTTAATGGTGATAGGGTGAGACATATGTTTAGCCTGTATGGTAGCATACTCATTATCTTCATAGATACGTTCTGATTCTGCCTTTAAAGACAATTTAGGTTTGAATGGCTTAGATGTGGCTGAAATACTTATGTCTATTGAAAATGAGTATTCTATGTGATTGGTGGTTTTTAGTCCCCCATACCCTCTTATGCACCTATTTCAGAGAAATTCCAGATGATAAAGCTAAAGAAATTCAATATGTAGACCAAGTAATCAAATGCGTTGCAGAAATTCCCGAAGCTAAGTAGCTCATAGGCCCCTCAATGATGAAATCTGAATAAAGTGTTAAGACGATACATATTTAAGACTGCGTCAATCAATGCGTCCATCAATACTTCCTAAAGCATGAGGAGTCAAAGGGGGTGCCGAATTTACTGGAAGCGTTTCTTGACTCATAATTCCCTTAGCGTATTAAAAATGTATTATACAGATCATGAAATTTCTATAGCATGGTAATTGCGAAATGTACCGCGATTTGCGAAACACGAGCACATATACATGACAGCCTACCTCCATCTCCGAAATTTCTTAAACTCACTTGAATACGCAAATGTAAGTATTTTTTTTTTTGGAATGAAGATAAATTTGAGTCATGTTGAGAGAAGTATACAATTGATTCCGTTTGAGATTTTCCGTCGATCTCTTTAATGATTGCGACTAGCTCGCTTAACAGGTTGGGTTGTCAGCTCCAAAGCTTTCTGCACTGCTACCGGCGCCTCTGCTTTCGCAGCAGCTGACCATTGCTCCCGTGTCGATAGAGTTGACGCCATATCTTTCATTAGCCATAAGACATCTTATGGCTGCTAGTAAAAATTCAGACTCACGGCACACATTGCTTCAAAAGCTCGTCGAATCTTGCTGATTGATCTGGCGTGAGAGTTAAAATCATGTCTTAATATATTCAAAGGTTCGCTCACCAACTGCAGCGCAACAATCCTTCGTTACTAGGAAGGGTAAAGCCCCATCAGCAAAAATTGTCACTTTTTAGCCAACTCACTTTGATACTCAGTGCTAATTACGTGGAAGTTAGCACTGTCTCTTACTTCAACATGTTGAACACCTACCATCCGCCTGAACCTGTGCAGATTTCTGGACCGCCAGCTGCGACGAGCGCAATCGCTGAAAGAAGAGCTGAGAGTGTAGCGAGTTTGTACATTGTTATTTGCTTGTGATGGTACGAGAATAAAGAAGGTGAGAAGGCCTGCATTTTATACTCCAATGAATAAGGTTGAGTGACTTCAGGTGACTATGGTTAATTTATGCACAAATAATTGACTAAATCCACCGAATTCAACGAAAAGTTGCCCAGTCGGTTCTGAAGCGACAAGTGCAAAATCAATTAATGTTTGCTGTTCATAGAAGGACAAAATAAACATTTTTCAAGCCTCACTTTAATAGGAGCGTTTATAAAGTCCTTTTAAGTCCTTCAGCGCGTTCAAGAAAGACTGTTGAAGCGGCGTTCGGAATTTTTAGAAATGTGGGGTATTTTGCGCATTTATTACGCATGAACATGGCAAAAAAAATCCCAAAAAATTCCTTTCACGATCTATTAAAGAATATGAGATATTAAATCGAGACTTTCTCGATAATATTTCAGGGTAAAACATCGACGAAATGATCCTCAGAGTCAGTTGATGACGAGCATGTGTGGCAAAAATGTCAAAGTCTAGTCAGACTTTGAGCTATCAGGTGACACTGATATGTGGATTGTAAGTAGCCGTATTTTATCATGCACAGCTTCACATTATGGCTTAAACCAAGAGGCTGTCAATGCATTATAGTTTTAAAATAGTAGCAGTAATGTTATATGAGGCAACTTGAAAGTGCTCCTAAGCCTCACCTTTGGTTTCCTGTTGTGCGTAAGTGTTAACAAACAAGTGTCAACACAACCTAAAACACACCTTGGCAACACCGTTTGGTTCTGTGAAGCGATTACCGAACAAAGTCCCGAAGATAGATTCTCCTTTGCCTTTAGCCTGATCGGTAGTTCCCTCAGCTATAGTCTTGGCTTGCTCTTTGTTCTCTTCGTTCGATTTGGACGAATTGGTTCCGAGAGTCTGACTGAGGAGGTCTTTGCCTTTATCGAAAAGGCCTTCAGATTGTGATTTTGGGATTGATTCTGCTCATTATTGTCGCAATAACCTGAATAGCAAGCTAACAGGAGCATTTCAGTATAATTAATCTCGATGCATCTTCATTCTTATTCCTTTCTACAACATCACAACCGCACTAAACGCTACGATTACTCTGGGCGTATAAAAGCGCCTCCATTCATTCTCATTTGCCATCCCTCTGGCCTTTTGGCTTAGATCAAGTGTAGTAGTATCTGTTCTTCTAAGTTCGAACAACTTGGATCGCAAAAATTATGCGACAAACGTTCGATCTAATTCTTATCTGCGTCTACGTACCCTCACTGCTTGCATCGGGTAGGTAGAAAATGGCCTTGTGTTGCACTACCGCATGTACCGTCAACGCGCTCTTATACTCCGCCCCGATAGCATTCTAGCATGTCTATTTTTATTAAATAGCATCAACTTGTCGAAATTTGTGAAATGGTTTGCTCTAGCATCTTAATTCAGATTTTTCGGGTTTAAGTTTTAGTTTTATAATTAACACCAATTACACCTAAAATGTTGTAAAGTCACGATAAAATATATCTAGGGAAAAGAATACACAATTTATCCGTTTTTATTGCGCATTTGTGTTCTAGCGTGCTTAACAGACGCTGGTTGCTGCGCCGATTTCTTCCTCGCGAGATCCGGCACCTCTGCCCTCACAGCAATCAACCATACCGCCTGTGTTAATACCGTTGGCAAGAAGAGGAATGCATTGATGAAATACTTCATCGAAGCGCGTGTTTTGATCTACGGCTGCACAGCAATCCTTGGTGACTAGAGAAAAATTCTCATCAGCTTTGATGAACATATAGAGCTGACTTACTTTGGTATTCGACACTGTATGCGCGTTAGAGGTTCATGATAAAGATTTATAGACTCACCAGCCACCGCCTCTGCTGGTGCAGACCTAACGACTAGTTAGAAATGCTCAACACCTCACACCGAACTAACCTCAGCTGGGCCACCAGCGGCGACGAGAGCGACGGTTGAGAGAAGAGCTGAAACAGTGATGAGCTTGAACATTGTTGTTAGTGTTGAGTTGATGGTTTGAAGGGAGAAGTGGAAGGCGTTATTTATACGCTAGAAACGCGGGGAGGTTCCTAGCTTTTTAATATATAAGACTGTTCTTTCAATTCCCTGCATAACCATAGGTTCCGCAAAACACCCGAGGCGAGGCAAAGGTGTAGCGATTTGGGGCATCTACATCTCCGTAGACACTTCCTGAGGCTGATATATAGTATAAAGTATCTAAATCACCTTTTGAGCTGCTTGTTCATCTAAGACAAGAATAAATTAGATTGAAATCGGACTTTTTTAGCGACAAAATTGTTCCTGTTTCACAGAAAAAGGAACGTTGTGATATCACGGGGTATATTAGTGTTGTGGGTTTTTTGCAAAATAAATATTCATATCGCCTTCAACACACAGCCAAACTATCAAAATGCTATCATCTATTAAACTTTACTTTGTCTATAGTGAGACGTAATGTATCAGCAACTGCAAATCATCTGTATTTCGATTGAAATTCAAAGGAGCATGATGTACACTTCTGCACTACTTGCTGCAAGTGTGATAGCTCAAAGAGTGCAGCGAGGCCAACGCAGACAACGCGTTCAATGCAACATTTGAATGCAGGTGCTGTTTTCAAGGTGCAAACAGAAATGTGTTTAGGTTTAAACCTCAGAGATTCGCTGCTGACACTGTCTCTAGTGAGCCGCAATATTCAGCGCTCTTCGCCAACGATGGAAATGTCATCGAAATAGTGACATTAATTTCAACTGCGGCTCACAGGAATTTTTCAGCGACATGTCTTCTGAAAGGTGAAGAAAGTCCAGCTAAGCAATGAAATATCAGTTCTTAGATGCATGCCTGATCTGAAAGCACCGAAATGTCGTAAATCCGTTTAACGCCGATCAGAAGCCGGTTGCTTCGCTAAAGAAATTTGGCAGGGATTAAAGGCATGATGTATTCAATTATGCTTTTAGAATTCAAATATGCAAGAATTCTGTGGTTGCGAATAAGCAGTATCCAATTGGCTCCACTAATCAATCAATGAGTCAAAAAGTGCCGAGCACGCTAAAGAAAGTAAGGAGGCTACAGAGAAAGCCAGAAAGTAGTCTAGAGGTTTTGTTGAGCTCTTAAACTATTGTAAATGTCATCTACATCGATATATTCACAACCCCTTAAACGCTATCTCCACCACCTCAAAAGACTCGAATTAAGCATAAACTAGCATGAACCCGCATAATGCTCGCCAAAATGATTTTTGTAATTCTCCAGCGAGTCTCCTTTTCCTTGTAACTAACTTGATATGCATTGATCGAGGATATCGGGAAATTGGGAGGTGGTCAGAAACACGTTACGCACCCATCCCACGCCGTCCCACACCGTCCCACAAGTTCTCCGCACGTTTACAACATGAACTGCGCTCAAATTAATTTCCTATTTCTAGGGCCATTCTCCTCATTTCCGACGTTCCTTACGTTGAAGCGAAAAGCGTTTCGCGATAAAACTGGCGCTCACAAACCTCCATCACACCTGCACAGAAATCCAATGTTCTGAGGAAAATACCCATGGATAGAGAACCAGAGCCCGTAGCGACCGCGACCCATCTCAGGGCGTATTACAGTCTTCTCATCATCGCAGCAGTCGGGCACGCATGTCTACTTATATTAACACTAGCGTCGCAGCGGCTGCACAAGCACGGCGTCCTCATCAACTTCTACTTGATCTTCATGGTCACCCTGTGGTTCGACGCTATCCTCTGCTGGACGCAACATATGGAAGATCCGCATCCGCCCAAATCCTTACAAATAATCAACGCTGTGTTTAGGCTCACAGGCACTGTAATGAATAGCTCGACGACGCTTATGTGCGTCACCAAGTTCTGGGTATCGACCAACATCGCAGCTTCGACCAAAATCTCCAAATATCTACATTATCTCGACAACATCACGCTTGTCATCTTCCCGTATGCAGTCGGCATTCCTTTTTTGTGGGTCTACTTTCAAGAGAAGGAACACGGCTACTCACACGTCCACAGCTTTGCATATCTGGGGGTATTCCTCGATGACCGGTCTATGGTACATCGGACGCCCTACTACTGTGACAGCAGGCACGAACCACTCAACATCGCCGCTACCGTAGTAGCTCTCATCGTCATGATAATGGTGATGATACTCGCCTTCTGGCTTGCAGGCATCCTCATCCGTCTACGTGCAAGCCAACGTGGACTCGTGAAAGTGCACTGGTCAGTGAACCTTCAACTCACCGCGCGCATCCTCCTCTTCCTCTTCTATTCCCTCACATCCATCACCTTGCACTGCTGGAGCTTGCGAGGGTACGATGGAGTAAAAACGTCGTCAACTCTCGTATTTGCGAGTACCGGATTGATTGCATTCACGCTCTTCCTCATACAGGCAGACATACTCGCAGCTCTGAGCCATTATCTAGGATTAAACAAGTCACGCGATAAGCCAGGCGACTCAGATCAGTTGGAATTTACACACATGGATCGCAGCCGCCGAACCTCACTCAACACGCTTAATACCTTCTTCCCGCACCCGCAGACGCCCCCGCCTACACACGTAAACGAAAAAAAGTACTCCCTGCTAGATAGCGAGAGTGCAAACGGATTATATGGTGTACAGCACCACTCCCACAGTCCCAATGCCCTTACAACCCAGCCAAGCCACACCAGTACGCCAAAATCAAAATAACTTATACACTCTTTACTTTGTAACTGTATGATGTAATATATTAGCAGGTGATATCAATTTTGAGATAACCCACAACTGAACATTTAAACCGACAACTAACATTCAAGATGGGCGTATATCCAGTTGTTAGCAAGAGTGATCTGGAGCATATGGCGGGTGCTGTGGGCTTCTGTAAGGCACTTCTCACTCTAGAAACAGCTCATCGCAGAGAAGCCAGTAATCGTGGAAGTTAGAGACAGGTGAGATGGGTTTATTTGAGAGGCGCGTTTCTAATGCATACGCGTACTCAGTGACGAGGCGTGAGTTGCGAGTGGCTAATAGGCTCAGACTCACATATCACATGCAGCGGTGATTTGTTCGAGGTGCGAAACTGGATCACAGAAAATACATACTCACACTCACCACAGTCTATATCTAATGAAAACGAGAAGAATGCCATATTTGTGGGTGATTTACTTTCGGTACACATACTCTCTCTTACAGCCACAGTTCTCTATAAACAGGATGAAATTCCGTGGGTGTGGTGTTCGGATGAAGAGCCCCGCTCATAACGCTCCTACAGATTACATATCTGACTTGATGGGTGCAGCGTCCTCATTGCCAGCATATTTTTATTTCCAAAGAGGAGAGAAGATAGACGGATGCTATCAACCCACGGAAACGCAGCTGAGAGAGTTTCTTGGTAAATCATTAAGCAATTAGAATGGCCAGAATGTGGAGAATCGATACATTGTATCGCAGTAACTAAAAACCGAATTGAGGAATAAATAGACTTAATGCACAGACTAAGCATGTGGATACTCATCTTCATACTGCAGATCACCCATGTAATGATCAATGAGATGGTGTTCGAGCGCATTCTTACTGGCGAAACCATGCTTGCACCGCGGGCAGTGGTATTTCTCTACAAAAGAGTGGTGCATGATCAGCTGCTCGTAAGTAAAATTCATTTCGCAGACGTTGCAGAAGTGAGTTTTGTCTGAGATGCAAGGGGGTAAACGCATTATTCCAACTCAGCACTCAGCAGCACTCACACTTATAATGGTTAGGTATCATGATGATGACAGATGGTTTGAATTTGCTATAAACAGCTTAATTGAGGCTGTATGACTCGGTCATTTATGACTCACCTATCTTGGCTTATCTTATCGAGAAAGAACGCCAGATTGTCAGTGTAAAATGCAATAGATAGGTTTTGATTGTGAAATTATGTACGCAAGCTTTGCTTAAGATCAATATCGCATCTACTACACTTGACACATCCTTTTCCATCTTTGCAGGAAATCCAAATCAAGCAATCTTGAATATAAATGGCATGAATATACTCCTTGCAATGCTCGTCATGGTGAACGGGGTCCATACCCAACGCTCGTTGATCTCTCCGACGCCTCTAGCGTCTGACATCTACAACGACCTGCTAAAGAATTATAGCGATGAGCAAATGTGCTCCACATAGCTCAAGCTTTCCCCATATTAATTGTACCTAAGCTGAGTCCGCTCTATCCGGTCGTCGGAGTGACATCATGCGTATATAATCAAGCTTGCCAAATGCGATCTTTTCATTCAAGCACTATTAACACAAAATAAGACACAAATGACTACGAACAACACACTCCGCTTTGGCGTTTTAGGCATCGGCAGAATGGGAATGAGACATGCCTTAAACGTACGTAGACCCCTACTAAATTATTCAACACACTCATACTATTCAGTACAGGTGGTGAAGGAGCCACGTGCTCAATTAGTAGCCGTGGCCGACCCACGCACGGAGGTCCTTGAAGCGTCTAGGGCCGTATTGGGTGAGCAGGTCAAGCGCTTCACAAGCGAGGAAAATGTCATCAACGATCCATCCATCCAAGCCATCTTGGTAGCTAGCGACACAACCCAACATCCGATTCTCGCTCTGAAGGCTATCAAGGCAGGTAAACATCTGTTGCTTGAAAAACCCATAGCCGTGAACCTGGACGATGCGCTACCAGTTGTCGAAGAGGCCAAAAAGAATCCGCATCTCAAGATTTTGGTGGGTATGTCTCGCCGTTTCGACGAAAGCTACAGAGAAGCATTCAACAGAGTGAAGGGCGGTGAGCTGGGTGATGTGTTTCACTACTATGGCGTCACCAATGACCAGTACAACGCTGAGATTGTTGATTTCTTTGTCGGGTATTCAAAGGTTAGCGGATCAATACTGGTCGATTGCGGGATTCACGATGTTGACTTGATGAGGTGGTACATGGGACCAAATGAGAAGGTCAAGAAGGTGTTTGCTGCAGGCTACAATGCAAGAATGCATGGATTAGCCGAGTCTAAGGATGCTGACAACTCAGTCGCTACTGTAGTCTTCGAAAGTGGCAAACTTGCCAACTTGTACCTCTCGAGAACTGCAATCCATGGACACGAATGCTGGGCGCAAATAACGGGCGAGAATGGAATGATCAAGGTCAACATTGACAGTGCCATAAACCGTGTCACTCTTGCAGATGAGCATGGATATCGCAAGCAAACAACGCAAGACTATTTCGATAGGTTCAGAGAGGCATTCTCGAACGAAATGAGGGAGTTCACCAGCGCTGTGCTCGACAATTCCCCTCTTCCGCTTGAAATTGACGACGCGTACATCGCAAGCAAAATCTGTGTAGGTCTGCAGATGGCCTTCAGATCAGGCGAACAGATCTATTTTGACAAAGATCAGTCACCAATCCCACCCAAAGGTATAGCAGCATCGAAGCTTTGATGGGATTCTTGTAGATAAATTGATGGATATTTCCTTAAAAACAGGTATACCAATTTAATTTAGTAGAATACAAAGCATTATCGTGCAAGTATTAGGTTCAGGTAAAAAAAATTCTATTGAGGGAATATATCTAATAGTCAACTTGACCGGCCTGGATTCTGTAGTATTCTGGTATCTCAGGCTGTTTTCCTTCCGCTATGAGAAGATATTCCATTCCTTCCGCTTTATGGGATCCTGAGACAATGTGAGACAAAATGAGATAAATTAGCTTCCACAAACCAATGTGACAATGTAAGAGCGTAGGCTCTGCTTCTCCAGCTTCAAAGCGCGTAACGAGGTAGGAGGGTGCATCAGGCATGGAAGATGGCGTGTTGAACGTGTCGACGTAAGCTGGATCCTCCCAGTTGATAGCATCAGGGTTGTGAGCATCGAAATCCGCCACATCAGTGTAGTTCCAGCTCATCAGCCCCAAAGTACCGCTACCAAGCAAGTGCCTGTGAAGCCCATGGAAATGCATCGGGTGAGGCGGTTGAGGAACTGTTCCATTAACGACAAACACCACGTCTACAACGCTACCGGCTGGGTAGTGAGCGGTTGATGACGAGCCAATGTATGACTCCAGATCGAAAAGTGCAGGTGTCTCAGCGGTCTGCTTTTCGGTGATATTGTACCGTTCAACTACAGCTCCCTCGTCTGACATACCCCAGTATAACGTCCCGTCGTATTGCAATGTGAAAATTAGCGTCTTGTCAGCTTTCTCGTGAGGTTTGGGTACATTTGGCGCATCGTATGCACGTAGTTGAGTTGATTGTATAACAGTCGCGTTCTCCTTAACCAATCCACCTCCGTAGTTAATAGTTGGCTTGGAATCAGGCAGCGCAGGAAGCCCTTCCTCCTTCACGTAGCGAACGTTGTTGTTATTACCATAGCTGATGATTGCGTGTGTTGCCAGAATCTGAGGTGCGTTCCAAACAGATACTCGCATTACATATTCGCCTGCTGTGTGTAATTTAAAAGCAACTCCCAGACGCTCTCCAATAACAAACTCAAAAGCATCGGCAGGCTCTGCAGACGGCATGCTGTGATATCTTCCGTCTTGAGAAAACAGATAAACTGGATGCTCATCGATTGAAACGATGTAAGACCAGTGACTAGCCGCGGAAACCATATGTAGGACGGCCCATTGCTCATTGCCATCGTCAACATACTCGAATTCAAACTTTGGAGTAGTCGTGTTGGTCTCCTCGCAGTTAAACCACACATCTGCATCGAGCTCTATATCGTCAGGCACTGCTGGAGTGCTTTCTGTAATGTTCGGACATCCTTTGGCGGTGATGTAGGAGCCATCAATCAGCCCATTTTTATTTTCGGATGCATACGTTCTCAGCTTATCCATAGCTGGGCAATTTCTGCGTCCATGGTTGTTAATGAGTACAGCGTCGTAACATAGTAATTCTGAATGCCACTCTTCAGACAATCGCTTCTGTTCAGTGCTGTTAAGCGTTGTGTAGTCAGCCAGCATGATAATCTGCGGATCTCTGTCTTGCTTTTCGAGTGACTCGATTGCGTTATTGTCGTTTGTGAGCTGATAGAAAGGCTTTGGACGATTGTCGTTTGGTCGGACGTAGACTGGAAGAGCTATACCATCTTGGTACTGCTCACGTGAGTGATCATGCAACCAATACATTCCATACTCCGCGTTCCATTGATACGTGAAATTTTCACCACTTCCAATATAGGTTTGAGTCACGCCTGGAACTCCATCTGACCATATTGTACCACTTTGAGTAATACCATGTGCGTGGAGAGTAGTATTTGTATGCGCATTATTTATGTAATCTATCTCCACCACGTCATCTTCGTCAACGACGATTGGTTCGGCGCCGTTGAACGGCCTGCCATTGATAGCGAACATTTCTCGTGGCTTCCCGCCATCTAAGCTTGTAACCATTTCAGTGACCTCGAGGGTGATCTTTTTGACACCCTGATTTGCATTCTTTTCGTGCATTGGGGGGCCGCCCGGCGAGTCACCCATGAGTCCACCCACACCTTTACTACTGAACAGCGCTAACAATGCTACTTCAGCCTTGAAAAACATCTTTTAGACGTGGTGTCGGAATTAATGAGAATAACTTAACAGCGCATCTCCGGAGCTTTTCATTACCGGGCCTTAAAAAATCAAAAACCAAGGAATTAAGTGAAAAGTACATTTGATATAATTAAGTGGAGTTATAACGTATTATATTTTGCTTTGCTGTGAACGTATAATTTTTCATAAAGCCCATTCTATTTAAGGCTATTTGTCATTTGTTATATTTAGCTGAGCTATGCACCAAGTGAGATCGTCGAAGGTGGGCGGGGGTGGCTCAGGATGCTGTGGTTTATTGCTCTGACGAATGCATTCGTCTTCGAAATTGATAAGCCGCAGCTTTCGCAATAGCGCTTCTATTTCTGTTGACTGGCATGGGTGGAAGTAGAGAATTGACTGGACGGCATCAGTCATTGATCCAGAGATGCGCAACGCACCGACTACATCTCTGTCGAGTTCGAAGATATCCAAGCAACGCAGGGCCTGCACGCTCAAGGCGCCAAAAATAACTGGTGTCTCCTTCAAAATGGCACGGAGATGGTTATTGTAAAGTAGTTCGTGACCCTTAAGCCAAGCTATCACCTGCTTCCTAGTAAAGTAACTTTTTGGGCCGATGAACTTCTTCGTCATGGCCTGTAGTTTTGCCGTTAAAATCAGCCGTATCATGAAGGCAATATTTCTTATCTGCCAGATCGGAATAATATTTCTACACGTGTGTTTGAACAATTCCATCTCGATGGTCTCAGCTGCCAGTATAATCTTGGTAGCTCTCGCATGGAATTCTAGCGGCTGAGCGCGCAATCTGATAGCCCCCAGGCAAAGAAGTTTCACTCTCTCCAGCAGAGCCGGCACAGTCCTCCTAGACCATGTCCTCTCGTGTGGACTCGGAAGTTTCGATATCCATTTCTCGGAAGAGAGGAAGATGCCGTAATTTGAGCTGTCTGCTATGTGCAGGGGCATGACGGGATGGAAAAGAGTTTGTTTCCATGCTTGGCTCAGCGATGCCCACACTGTCCGTCGCACCTCCTCCTTCTCTATCTCCTCGTCCGATGCGTCGTTGCCAGAGAAGCGCGTAATGACCCGTAAAACAAAACCGCCCGGTCGATCTTGAGTGTTTTCATTAGATTCTCGGATGATGTCGCATAGACACCCAGCCTGTTGAACGTATGTATGTATGTCTGTGTCGTCGCTACCGACATCTACTGTCCTAACGGGGATACCGTCGTCGTCAAACACCCAACTCACTTGATGAGCATCTATCGAAGTGAGAGCAAGCTTGCTGATAACAATATCGGCTATTATAATCGCTGAGCCTAGTTTTTGAGTGCTAAAAGTCTCATTGGGGAGGAATTCATAGTAGTGGAGGCATACAGCGGCCTGTGCGATACCCAGGGAGAATTTGGATGCGTTGACAGCTGTAATTAAATATGTGTGAGCACTGTCTGCGTAGTATGCCGCTTTGCCCTTAAGTATACCCGAGTCAGCTCTGTCAGACGCTCCCTGAACCGAATAAGACACTGCCAAAAGTGCGCATATCAGTGACGGCTCTAGGCTTGCCCTCTTTGAGGGTATATTGAGCTTCTTGTAGAGTGAGGGAAGGTGGAACAGCACAGCGATCAAATCGGATTTGCTAAACACCTTCCAGATCTCTGCTATAAGACCTTTCAAGCTCCCGCCAGTCTCAGAAAACAGAGTCGGCCAAAACGAGTACTGCTGGTAGTCTGTCGAGGGTGTCTTGAGGATGGAAGTCTTGCTTGACTGATGTGTTGCGAATTCGGGTAAACTCGTTATGTCAAAGGGCTTATTGAGAAGGGCAGTATCAGGAATTTTAAATTTCCTTTCAGATGGAGAAAGTTGTGGAATATACTCATCGCTCTCGTTGTCGCTGCTGTGATGTCGAACGAGCTGATTGGAGGAAGATGAAGAAGCGCTGCTGGCTGGGGTGTGATTCGAGGCACTCTGCTTTGATCGCCTGGATGATCGCGGCCTTTCGTGAGCATCGTCTTCGCTGTCTGGGGAGATTCCGTGTGGTTTGTAAGCTTTCCTTGGTTTCTTATCAGCGCCTCGAGTAGGACTGGAGGTGGTGGTCAGTGGGAGTAAAATCTAGCATTTTCGGGACTAACCGATCTTCTTCAATGCCAACGCATTGGTAATTCTTGATTACACAATTCCTGCACCTATCGCTGTTGTCGAGGATTACGCACTTGGTTTTTGACTTGCGGCAGCTCTGACAAGCTCTAATAGATCTCCTTTTGTTGCGCTTGGGTTTCATGAAGTTGGAAGTTAAAGGGATGAAATTACCCGAGCGGCTGGGGATCGTCTGGCATGCGCATAAAGACTTTTCAAGGAGGAATCGGTGGTTCTTCTGGGTTTTTGGTGATGTTTTGATATAGCACAGTCTTTAAGGTGTTTATCTGCAAATTAATCCGAGCACTTCATCGATCATGCAATTACTTGAGATAAATAATCGAGAGAAATATTGGAGCCGAGCGAGATGAAGATATTAAATATAGTAACATCTATGCAGATTGCTTCCCCGGACTTATTTGTTTTCGTACCTTCGATTTGTAATAAATAAATGTATCACTCGTGTGCCTGATTCAGCCTGTGTGTGCAAAGGGTCTTGAGTTCTTAGCGGATGCAAAGTTGATATCAATTTATATGCATTATATAGTCAAGACAAGATGAAGCGATTTCACATACTCAATAGTCTTACTGAATTAATCGTTTGAAGTGCTTGAGCTGTGATGCAAATGACCTGGATTCGTGCTGGCCACCGACCTTTTCGAGTGTTGTCACTGTCTTCGATTTAAAGACCTTATAGCTTGCATTTACGTTATCTTTACCACTTTTATATGCCACAACAACAATTTGTAGTGGTAATGAAGCTAAAAGCAATTCAATAAAAACCTTAAGATCATCGTCTTGATGTTCCAGAAAGCGCACTGCCAGCACCTTCAAATTTGGATATCTATCGAGAAGCGCATCAAACTAAAATTTTGTTGGCCTGATTTCATTAGGATCTTTCAAGACAAGGGTGAGCTCTTCAACTCTGTCATTCGAGAGCATATAGCTTATCAAATTATCAGTGTTCCTCATGCGATAACCATTGTAAGAATGGTATCTTTCACTTATTGCGGAGCAATCTACGAGCAATGATTGGAGTTTCGACATTTTCGAAACTGCGAAACCTAATTCAGATACTGCTGATAGGTAGTTTGCGTCACTCAGAAAGTTGAAGTTAATCTGGAGGTGCTCGGTGAAATTTCTCATTCTAGAGGAACTTAAAGCCTTGCGATGAAATTGGACATCAAAGTCTTGCTTGCCAGAAGTAATCATCCATTCTCTGTAATAGTTTCGTCCTCCAAAATCAGCCGGGATAGAGGCAAACTTTTTGCAAACAAGGAACATGGTCCTCACGTCTTTCACCGATAGTTTGGGATAGACGATCCAACGGATGTCGTAAGGAAGCGCTGTGAAAATGAACTATTTGTCATTTGAAGTGTATTGGGCGTTCAAGACAAGGAATACAAATAAACATAAATGACTCACAAGTAAGAGAATCGTTTTACAAACATCTCATTCAACACCCTGCTTAATCTCTTAGAATCGGATATGAATAAATTACAACTATCAGCCCCCACCGCCACCCGCCACAGCGCCAGACGCGATGCCTGCCTGCGTATCCTTATCTATTCGTATCATAATGACTATCGCCATGAAAATTGCGGTGAGATCGAGTTGGTCGTGTCCAACAGCAAATAATCTCAAGGCGCCTGCTTTCCTGTATGAATACGACGTAGGTTCATAAGTCGCAATAATTGTATTGTTGAGCAGCTCCGTAACGACAAAGCTCATCATTGTTTTCGATCTCCTCTTTGCGACGCATTTAAGCCCACTCGGGAGAGTGAAGAAGCGCTTTGATGACCACATGGCAGACCAGAAGCTGTGACTATCTACAGCAATAGCGCGCTCGCCTAATCCATTAGCTATCAACATGATTCAAAGCGTCTCACAATACACACCCACCGATGAAGATGTCATAGTTGGTCCAGCTCAGCTTCTTCGTCATTGAAGTTGCGATAACCTGTTGCTGCGGCTCTGTACGCAACACAATCTTGCTGGACCAAATGGACATTTTCACAAAAAATATCGGTGGGGAATCCATCGCAGCAGTGAGTGAACTACCCGGGAATATCTGGAATGAGCTGCTGCCCTTATTTCTAAATGCATATATACCTTGCTCTTCTAGCATGTGGAGGATGGTTGTGGTTTTGTTGTGACCGTTTAAGACAGTGACTCTGCAGCGGTAACCAAGAAATGCATCTGATAAATTCTACAAGTCTATACCCAAATACAACACCAATCAACGCCAACTAGAGAAGTCTACGAGCAAGCAGAGATGTGCAGCCGAAGATGATAGCAGCAGTGCACCACTTCTTAATCTTGTCTTGATTAGCAGAAATTTTACGCACAGCGAGCATCGCCCTTTTGATGAATAACAATCTAGCTTTAACTTTTTTCAGTCCATGCAGGGCAATATCAGGGTAAGGAGCCAGTCTGTTATAAGCGTGTGAGTACAGCACCATAACCATATCCCATACTCACACTAAAGCGCCATCTATAACAACCACGCTCTCTAACGAGGACTGTATCGTCGCAGCAACGAGAATAGCATGCCTCCGTGAAATCTTATCTGATACGCCGCTGAGCGCGTATGGTTTGCCCCTACTCAACAAAACCTGATCCGCTAAAGTGGGGTTGATGATGTTTGCTCTCCAGTTCTCTGTTTTGCCTGAAGAATCCAAACCCTGAGGATTAGAGTAATTCTGTTGGACAGGTGAGCATTTTCAAACCACACCGCAGCTAAACCCACCGACTCAATAGTAGATTTGAGGATAGGCGTCTGGTCGGCAATATCACCCGCATCGCCGTCAATGACAAATACTTTATCGGCGGAAGGGTTTTTCCTGAAAGCATTGGCGCCATAGTGGATTGCAAACATCTGGCCGTACATGTTCACCTGCACGCCCGTCATATCAGGCCGGACGTCTGATAATGTCGTTAGCGGTGGAGTGAGGGGAACAAAGCCGGTGCGCACTAGTGGGTGTCTTGTTTTCAGGGCTAAACCAGTCTTGGACATCCGCGCGTATCGCGTTCGCAACGATAATGTCTACATTGCCGAGCAATTCAATCGCCAGGCTGAAAAAGGCTTCGACTTGTAGGTGGTCGCCGACATAGAGTTGGTGGGTACTGAGGTTAGCAATACCTTGCAATTTCTGCGCTGCCTCTGTGCTATCTACACCAACAAGCACTTTTGCACTAAAGTCACATTCATTCAGCCTGAGGGAGCTGCTGATAGACACACCCACCCGTTCTGCGCGAACATGATCGCAGCATCTGCGTCTTTAGGCGCTGTGAATACGACGCCCTTGTTTTTTACTGATTTCAACAAAGTTTGATAGTCTCCAGATGACATGGGGGTGAGAGCAGAAGCGTGTTAGTAGCCGGTAGCTATTGCTTTCAATTATCAAATTATGTCTATTCTATATTCTTTCTACATCTATGAATCTATATCTAAACAATTGCACGTCTAACTGCGAGCATAATTCGACCGTTTCCTGATTGACAGTCCATATCTGTAGAAAATAATTGGAAACGGCATCATTAGCACCCCGATACACGCGAGCAGTGTCCCACTCCAGCTGATCGACAGGCGATCAAACATCTTGATTGCGAAGAGGGGGAAAACACTACCGAACACAGACCTCACGACGGTGTTTGCAGCCAGCGCACTTGCCGCGTACAAAGTATATGCGTCTGAAATGTACGACAGGAGCGAGATGAAGCAGAGCACGACACCCGCTCCAATCGGCACGCCTGCCGCGCAAGGGGCTAACCAATGGGTCCGTCCGGCCGTCCACGCGAACCAGAACAGCCCAATCGAGAAACAGGGCCCACCAACAAGAATAGCAGGCAAAAAACGTATCTCGGGCGCTGGTCGCTCACCCGTCTCCTTCATCGTCTGCTTTGCTATTCGCATATACCGCATGTCAAAGATCAAGTTGGTGATGTACGAGATAAACAGCCCGATCGCGACAGAGCAGAACGTGAGACCAGTCTTCCACGTTGTGAAGCCGTAGCTTCCTTTAAAAACGTACGGAAACATTTCGAACGAGAGATAAAGCACACCGTAAACCTGCGAGAAGTAAGCAAACATCCCTAAGAAACTTCCTCGCACCCACCACACCAATGTAAAGAGATGTCATAATCATGATGAGCTCCTGGCTGAGCATTTTGAACGGCCGGTTGAATGCAATCGACAGCTGTTCCTTGAAAGGCGGCGAATTGAGCTCGCTGAAGGTATGATAACGATTATCATGCGTACTCTTCCGCAGCTTCACTGCCTTCTTCTTCAAAATCACCTGCGCCATTGTCTCGGGATAGGTGAGACCTACGCCGAGGAAACACACGCCGCCGAAGATCATCTGCGCCCAGTATACCCACTTGTAATCGCTAGCATAGTCGACGATGAATCCCGACGCTATTGGACCCGCTACAGGGCCAGCGAATGGGCAGAGACTGCAACAATCAGCAAATTTTCACACCCTCACTTATCCAACTCCACTCACCTGTACAGCGCCATAGGACGACCACGCCGGACCGGATCCCATAGGTCAGCGAGCACTCCACCAGATGTCACCATGCTCGCAGCAGCGCAGCAACCAGCCAGGAAGCGGCACACGAGGAGACACGCCATGTTCGGTGCGAGTGCGCAGGGTATAGTGAATATGACGAACAGAAAAAGCGAAGACATGAAGGTGACCTTCCGGCCGACGAGCTCATTCAACGGCGACCAAAAGAACGGCCCCACTATGTATCCGACGAGGAAAAGAGATACTGTGAGGATAACCACTTCCTGTGACTTACCGTACTCCTCTTCAATGAGCGAGTACGCACTAGATAAAACCGAACTAGCAAATGTCGCATTAAGGATCTGGCATCCGGAGAGGATTGTTAGATACCACTTGTAGCCGACGCTCAAGTTCTTCGGGTCATCTCGCTCATCCATCTCAACTAGAAATTTATCCCGCTCCGCCTTCTCCACTTCTTTGTCCAGCCGTTCGTGCGAACCCTTGAAGTATCCCATGCCTAGCTGCTTAGCCTCCATCTCGCTCTCCACTTGATGAGGCTCCTTTGCGTCTTTCGTATCTGCGGTCTTGTCATTACCCCGGTTATCCTTGTCTGCGTCCGTGTCGATCTCATCGACTACTATAGTGTTCGCCGAGCTCATTTGTGTGTGTTTGTGTAATGTTCTGGCTATGCAGCGATGTACTATGGCGCTCTGTTCACTCGTGCGAAAACAAGAAGCCTCAAATTTACCCGGACTCCGGCTCGATCTGAAATAGATACCCGCGGAGAATCACAGCGAACTGAGATCTAAAGATAGAATTAGTCGCGCCGAATGACGCATATTACTTAGCGTCTTTTTCAAGTTCAGCTTCATACTTTATGCATATTCATGCCATAGCCATGATGTTGGCAATTTGCGAGATGGAATATGATGGTGATAAGGTGATAAGGCAGTACGAATGTTAAATCCACAAACATGCACACTGTTACTTTCTCAAACGCGCGTCCTTGTTTCAGTCAGGCACACCAACGAGACACCCTAAATTAGGTTTTATAAATTTACAAAATGAGTCGTCGTAGCCAGCTTATTTTCCTTCCGGCGGTGGTGGAAAAGGCTGATCTGGGAATGGTACATTGGGCATGCTCATTGGAGGCAAAGAGGGGTGTGCCTGTGAATGTGCCTGTGGGTGATCGTATTGTGGAGATGCTTGCGATGCTTGCGCCTGACTATATCCTTGTGGTAGAGGCGATGGTCCAGCGAGTACAGATGGTGTCATTCCTGGTCCGATTTGAGGTGGTGTGGCTTTAGCGCGCTTGGATGAATTAGACGAAGGCGAAAGTGAGAGATTTGTACGCTTCTTATTAGTGTTGGCTATCAACTCTCCCTCCTTGTGGTCAGCTGGGTATGCCGATGGGTGGGCGTGCTTGCCCTCGTAAAGCCCTGCCTCCTTTAGTGTGAGCGAGATAAGCGTTTGGCATCTCCTCGATATCTCAGTTGGTGTTCTAGACTTAAAAAACCAGTCCATTCTAAACGCTGGATGCTCCAATATATCCCGCTTGATTTTATCGTATGTGTCGTCCGAGCTGAGGCCATGATGGGCGAGTTTGACGAGTAGGAATCTATCCTCATCTTCTGTGTATTGCTTGCCCTGTGCTTTGTCAGTGTGTCAGTCTCCACTACATCCCCCACTCACCCTTTGTTGCGGACCATAAGGAATATTCAGCATCTGCAACGGATATCTACACCCGTTGACCTTGGCCTTGATTGCGCGTGTCTTGGTGGCGACACTCTCGAGCGTTTTCTCACCCTCCTCAATACGCTGAATCATTCTCTGGTGATCTTGTAATTCTGGGTAGCGCTTCCACCATACATCCAGATACTCTTTAACTTCCTCTTCCGTCTTTCCATCTCCAACGACGCCTTTTATTCCCTTCAAGTCATTCCTACCGTGCTGCTCCATTCCTCTTACCACAGCTTGAAACTCCCTACGAGTCCAGGTTGTAAATCCTTGGTGGCTCATAGCTTCCATATCTTTAATTTCTTCTTCACTGAGCGGCGTCGCACTGTCAATATCATCCTGCTCCTTCTTTGCATCCACTTTAGCTTGCTCGACGAGCTCTGGGTTTTCTTCCGCCTTCTTAGGATCCACATGGCGCGGTATAGCTTCCCAGCCATCCTCCTTTTTCTTATAGTTGTCATCCCGTCTCGCGAGCTCGAGGAGTCTCGTTGGGAAAAAGTGGTAGTCTTGGAATTTGTGCGTTGCTGGTGGTGGCTTGTTTGAGCGAGTTCGTCCTTGAGGATTAGGTTTCATTGCACCCTTGTAGTAATCGTCGATCGAGTAATTTTGTTTACGCTCTCTCTTACCTGGTTCGATCCAAAGTGGTTGTTTTGCTTTTGGATTGACACCAGTAAAGTTAATCTCTGACTTAAAATTGTTGAGATCCTCAAGGTTGAGATCTTCATACTTGGATGCCATATTTGCCGTCTTGGACTCACCCGTCTTGATAATCTCATCAATGTCATTGTCAACTATCTCCCTTTTCTGATTGTTGATAATCTTTTCAGCACCATGTTGAATCATGTCTGTCAACTCATCCTTGCCTGCATTCTTCTGTTGTGTTTGACGACCTTGCTGAATTACAAGCTGGTCAAGACGCAACTTTTGTGCAGCACGCTCTAAAATACGCTCTTCGACTGCATCTTCTGTCACAAATCTAAACACAAACACCTGCTTCTTTTGCCCTATTCTGTGTGCTCTATCCATAGCTTGTAAATCCGCTTGAGGGTTCCAGTCACTGTCGTAAAGCACGACAATGTCAGCCGTGTTGAGCGTAATACCTAATCCACCAGCTCTAGTGGTAAGCAAGAAAATATATTTCTCCGATCCTTCCTTGTTGTATTCATCGATGGCAGAGATACGATCATCGTGAGAAGTTTGACCGTCAATTCTGCAATACTGGTAGTCTCTGAACATACAATAGTCCTCAAGAATGTCCAAAACTCTCGACATTTGAGAGAAAATGAGAACTCTGGATCCCTTCGCCTTCATTGACTTGAGGAGCTTATCGAGAATGAGCATCTTTCCAGAGTTAAATACGAGATGTTCGTCGGTTGTGTATGGTGGACCTGGCTCTGCACCATCGAAGAGATAAGGATGATTGCAGCATTTGCGCAATTGCATGACAATGTTGAGGAGTCTTGTCTTGCCCTCTTTCTTACTAGATCCCATACCATTAACCAAATCAATGTCCTTCTCGATAATACCCTTGTACCACTTCCTTTGCATGTCAGTCAAGCCTACGTACAAATTGATTTCCTTCTTTGGTAAGAGAGATTTCTCAACATCAGCTTTAACTCTACGGAGCAAGAATGGTCTCAAGACTTTGTGCAATTGCTTGACAACTTCGTCACTGTTACCACCTTCCTGGTTGTTGGTGAACCAAGCATCAAAGTCTTCCGAAGAGGAAAAGACATCCGGAAGCAAGAAATTTAGCAAAGCCCAGAGCTCCATAAGGTTATTTTGAAGAGGTGTACCGGTAATGAGAAGGCGATTGCGAGAGTTGAAAATTCTGACTATCTGCGAAAGCAAAGAGTTGGCATTTTTGATACGGTGAGCCTCATCGATGATGATGTACTCCCAACTGAGTCTCTTAATAGCTGACTTCTCACGAAGACAGATCTCATACGACGAAATGAGAACGTCGAAATCTCCAGGCAAGATATGCTCCTTGACGAGTTTCTCGCGCTCTTCCTTAGTGCCTTGAAGTACAACGACCTTGAAATCTGGGCACCACTTAGAAAACTCTCTTGCCCAGTTGTCAAGTGTTGATTTAGGTACACAGACAAGGTGGTATCCTGATATGTCTTTGAAGTGTTTGAGGAAGGCTAGGAATGATATTGTTTGAAGTGTTTTACCGAGACCCTGAGTGATTTGAGCGGAGTTTCAAGTGTATTAAACGCAACTTACCATTTCATCTGCAAGAATACCGTTGATACCATTGTGATGCAATCCAATCATCCAATTCAAACCCTGAACCTGGTAATCACGCATTGTACAATTCTGGATGACTGTGTCGTGTGTGAGGTTAGGCTAGATTTGTGACGCGTCATACTCACACGCCGGTGTCTCTGTGAAGGCAAACGGCTCATCCTCTTCATCCTGCAACAACTCCTCGTCTTCCTCCTTTTCAGTCTTTCTCCTGCTCTGATTCTTTTTTGCCTTCTTTTTCCCTGTTTGGACTTCAGACTGCTCAATCATAGCCCTGAAAGCTGGATCGCGTTCTTTCTGTATGTTCTAATGAGCACCACGCATCACTTGGCATGGAAAACTCACTCTGCGATCAATAAAGTGTTTAAATAGATCAGTCTGACCAATCAAATACGAGAAACGCTTAACAGAATCGATATTCTTGGACTTTTCAATCTCATCCTTCTTAACCTTGTGTTTGGATTTACGCGCTGGACGTTTGTTATCTTTAGCGGGTGCATGAGCGGGTGCCGGGGCGATTGACTTGATCACTTGGCCATCACTGTCGTACTCCTCGTCCAATTCCTCTTCGTCGTCATCGTCTTGGTCTTGGAGCTCATCTTTGTCCTCGTCAGCGGAAATCTGTGCGCTGTCTGCGCTATCTGCGCTACCGCCTTTCGGTGACGGCACTTTGGAGTTAATATTCGATATCGCAGCGCTGGGTGGAATCGTATCAGAGAGCATCGACTCTTCTCGTGAATTAGCTTTGTCCTGTGAATATATTAGCCCGAGCAGCCACGTCTCGTGGTGTCGCTTACTGTCATTTATATCTCAATTCACTCCAATAGTGATCGTTGGGCTGTAAGAACTGATTCGCGTTGCGGGTTGCGTGTTAAGGGCGGCCAATTTTGACTCAATTTGAGCGGGATAATTGGGATATTATGGGTGATCAGGGTTAACAGGATTAAGCAGTGGTAATGTGCCATACATCCCTTTCTCTGCCGACGTGCAGGCTGCGTAGATCTTTGTGGCCAAACAGCGTGTGCTGTCAGTAGGCGCACCAAGGAGAAACCACAAAACCCTTTTTATAATCTATAAAATGCAATTATTAAGTACAACAAATCAGTCACTTCAGACACTTAATAGCACATCAGTGCTGTCGTGCCTGTATCGCCAATCTCAAACTATCAAACATTGGCTGATCTAAGCCTTTATCCTGTGTGAGCGTAATTTTGTACGCTTCGGCCATCTGCTCGTGTGTCTTGGCCTGCGAAAGGGCCTGGTTGAGATTAGAGCGATCTTTTTTCTTGATATCGCCGTACTTTGCGAAAGGCGTGAGTTGGCCAGTGCAGAACTTGGAAGCGGGGAAGAGATGATCGAGGGCGTGTGCCTGGTGGATGGAGGCGTAAGAGGTGTATTTGATGTTTAACTGCACTAATGCTATCTCCACTCACAAGCTGCAACCAATAAGCGCCGAGTTTTACAGGGCCACCTCTATTGAAACACGAAGGATTACCTTCGGCTCCCCTGGCGATCATCACGGCATTAACCCCAGTGCGAGACATAATTTCTTGTGCGTCCTTGTGAGTGTTTCCATCGCCATTGCATATGACAGCCACATCGGGTCTCATTTTCTCGATAGCTTCGCGCACCTCCGCCAGTCTGTCGTGCTGGGCAGGCTCGCTCGGGCGCATAGACTTGGTGCGGCAGTGGATCGTGATAGCTTTGATGGGTGTGGAGCAGATGCGCTCGACGAGCTCTATAGTATCCTGCTGTGTGCCTAGCAAGCGTATCTTGCAACTAATGGATTTATGTGGGAGTGCCTCACACAGTGCATTCAGTATAGCCACCAGGTTATCCGTGTTGGTGAGCAGAGCTGCGCCCATACCGGCATGTACCGAGAAATGCTTCGGACAGCCACAATTGAGATCTATGCCTGCGACATCCCCCGCGACTGTCTGTGCCGCCTGCACAGCTAGCTGCGGAGACGATGAGCCGATTTGGTAAATAACGTGGGGGCGCTCGAGTGGGTGGGTGGACCAGATGGGCTTGTTCTCTGTGGGTTTTATATAGTCGATGACGCCTGTCGACGCTGGATGGATTGTAGTGTTAGATTGTAGCCATTAGATACGCAATCAAACTGACTATTGTACACCCGCTGCGAATCAATTATCGCTCGGTCTATCACTTCAGGCGTCCACACCAGCTTCGCGCCGTATTCGAGGCTGATGAGTCGTGTTGGCACTGCAGCGCTGTGAGATGGGGTGTGGCGCGTCGAATAGCAGCCACCCACATGCACCACTCCTAACCATTGGCGCCAAATGCAATCCATTCGCGTAGTCAACCTCCTCCAAGGGAATGCCCTCAACTTTGGTCTTCTTCGCTGGCGGTTCTTGGAGTTTTGCTGTTTTGGGTGATGGAGAGCGGGAGTGTGGTAGTACTTGAGTCATGGCTGAGCTGATACGATTCACAGCCCCGCGAATGCTCATCAAGTGGCGGTACCAAGCGCACAAAATATACACCAAGATTGCAGGGCAGTTTTTAAATAACAACAGTCTATAAAAAGTGGAAAAAACCTTTAGTCGTTCTAGCACTCCTGGCTCAGTTTTAAACAGCTAATTGAACAGCTTCCACACAACCGCAACAGCGCCAGCTGCAATGGCGGCGATGCTCAGATAGCGCTTGTACGCGTCTCTCTGCAACGCCTTTTTAAGCTTAAGACCGATAACAAATCTGCTCATAAACTGGTCGACTACCTTGCTCTTGATGGACGGGTTCGGCAGTTCCCTGTCTTGTCAGTAGGGAGAGAGTGAAAAGCACCGCTACCCACCAAAGACCGTGCTCATCAATAACCCAAGCCTGGTCGGTGGCTTCAGTTGCGGTGGCGAGGATGAACGCTTGGGTGATTGCGTGTATTGGAGCGAGCGGGATGCCCTTCAAGACCAATCTGGCGGCTTTATCGAGAATGTTAGTGTCAGCAAACCAAGGCTGTGATTGGAGGTCAATCAATGTCCATGCACCATGCACCAACCCACATTGATGCAGTTGCATCTGAATCCCTCTGCAACGCCCTGGATAGCGAGAGACTGGGACAGACTCAACACTGCAGCCTTGCTAGCCGAATAGGGCATGCCTACGGATGGCATAGCTTGGAAACTAGCCATTGAGCCAGTGAGAATCAGGCATTTCTCCGAAGCCTTGGCTGTAGTGTTTTCCCTAAAGAATCTTACTGCCAGATGCGAAGTGTAGAGCACACCGACAAAATTCACATCAATCACCTTCATATCCGGTCTCACGTTAGCCGGTACTTTAGAGCTCATGAAGTCTCCGCCAGGATTGATGCCAGCGTTAGCGCAAACAACGTCGATCCTTCCGAATTTCTCCTGAGTCTTGAAGAACAAGTCGTACAGTTCGTCGTACTTGGTTACGTTTACCGTACAAGTGAAGAGATTTCCAGCGAATCCAGTAGCTTCACATTCACTAGCGAGTGTCTTGAGTGTATCGTGATTTATATCGCCCGCTGCGACTTTAGCGCTGAAGTGCGTAGTGCATCTGTCAGCGCACTGCACGCCACGGCCACGCAGCCAACCCACCCAAGTTTGAGATACTCGAGTGTCGCCAGACGCCCGATCCCCGATGCGGCGCCTGTGATGAGCACCACCCTGTCCTTGACGCCGCGTGCGAGATCCGCGTAGCTGGAATTATATGCGTGTGCGATCTCCATTTGTGCTGCACTCGCCGTACCGAACAAGAGAGAAGTGGGCAATGCTCGGTTATTAAAATTGCAACGGCCAGTACAGCGAAATCCCAATGTGCCGCTGTGCCGCTGTGCCGTTGCTTACCCTGACACGCTGTCTACAACTGGCATGCAGATGCAGCAGCACGAACCATTCTGCAGATAAGCACGTGGCCGTAGAGATGGTTAATAGTGGGGAGCTCTACTACTTTCACAGCAATCCCAAGCCTTTGCAAACCCCCTGCAGCTATTTTGGGGCTATTTGGGCTATGCGGGAGAAATGCGGCAGAGCAGTACAAGCGCACAGAAAATCGCGCGAGGCAGTACGAATGGGAAATACTGTGCCATGGGAGGTAAATCACTCGTGCATTTCCAATTCCTCTCAGCAACTCGCTTCATCTCATACGACCAACACAATGCTCCGAGCACGCGCACACACCCACGCCCACGCACTCAGAAACGCACTTGCGGCTACGAAGCCAGCCCGCGTATCGGCAGCCCGCCTTTTCTCGAACGACGCCGGCGCGCACGACCCGCAAGGCTATCTCAACGTGAGTGCGGGGCTCCCCACGCTCGCACGCGCTTACATCCCAGTCCTTTCTCCACGGCAGCCAGACAGCGAAAGAGGAGGGCGAGAAGGCCGAGTCTGTCGGCCACAGCAGATCCGTCGGCCGCAACAAATACATACACGAGATACAGAGTGCGTGGTCGTGATGACGTCACCGCGCCTCAGCTGACACGCGCAGGGCACCACGTCAAGCCGTCCAAGGTGCACGAGTATGTAGCAGCAGTGTGCGTTATTTGGATAGCGTCCTTAGAATCCCTCTCACATAGCACAGCCAGGACTACTACCTCGCGCTCGTCGGGGATAAAGCGAACCACCTCAAACTCACAGGCAGCTGGGAGGTCAAGTACGGCGAGCAAGACACCTTCATCCACATTCTCGAATACGATGGGTTTAAGGGTTTGGATGATACACTTGCGCTCATCAGAAAGACGAATGTGAGTGGCGGGACAGAGCGATGACTCACCACTGACCTCACCACAGGCAGACGCTATATTCAATACCCGCGTCAGACCACTCATCAACCACAGGACATCAGAGTTGTCGCAGGAGTTCGCCTTCTTCCCCTCGTCCCCACCGCACTCGTCGGGAGGCATATTCGAGCTGCGCAGGTACCAGCTCAAGCCTGGCACGCTGCTGCAATGGGAGTCTTTCTGGCGTAAGGGTCTGGAAGCCAGACGTCAGTTTGTTACGGTATGTTGTTTATTTTTCATCTACCTGTCTCACATCTTCCAATCAGCCCGTCGGAGCCTGGTTCTCCCAAGTGGGCCAACTGCACAATGTCACGCACATGTGGCAGTATCCTGACTTTGAAGCGCGTAAGCGCACGCGTGAGCAGGCGTGGTCTGTCGACGGGTGGGCGTACACTGTGTCGGAGGTGTGTTTTGCTCTTTACCTAATCACCACGTGCCTTCCTAACACACCTCATAGACTGTTAAACTTTGCGATAATATGCACACTTCTGTCCTCGAACCTTTGCCATTCTCGCCTCTCAAGTAATACAAATAAATCTTCATGTATCAATATATTCATCTTTTACCAAAGTAAGACCAGAATAGAAGCCAAGGAGGGAATTGTAAGAGGGTTTAGTGGGGTGGAAAGAAAAAGTCAAAAGATAGTAAGCCTTTAAGGATAGAAAGATTAAGTTAATGCTGCAAAGTTATTGGGAAATGCTATCATGTCTGCTGTGGCTTGTTAAACGGTGAAGGACGAATCACTCGCCTGTTCTGTTCCAGGTCCGTTGGCGTTGAGGAATTGATCACCATCCTGGGAGATGTGATGGAAGTCTGACGAGAAATGTAAGCCAGCGCAAGTACGCCTACACCAACTCACCAAGGATTTCAGAGTACATCATTACTTTCCAGGTATCGATTGGCAGATCAGCATCGTTGAAGCTCCAGTCAAACTGCTCAGCAGCGACAGGCTCATCATTGGGATCGTGGTATGGTGCCAAATAAGGATGAGCCAGTGCTTGTGAAGCAGTGATCCTAGTTCGTGGATCGAACGAGAGCATCTTTTCCACCAAATCGAGCGCTAGTGGGTCGTTTGTCTTAAATTTTTCATTGAATGGAATCCTAGGCTTTTTAGGCAAGCTTTGAACGAATCGGAGTGTCTGAGAGCAAGTCTGAGTGGATAAAAAGAAAATGACTGACGCCACTCACATTCTCCGAGCAAATAGTCTGGATGACGTCGTCAGGTGGAGTGCCCAACAACTCCGTGATGATGGAAAACTGGTTGACGTCTACGACAAAGTTAATTTCACACCAAATCCACTATTCACGCGATAAACTCACGGTCTTTACCAGGAAACAGGGGCTTTCCTTCAAGCATCTCAGCGAAGATGCAGCCGGTAGACCAGATGTCGACTAGGATTGAGAGTGTTAGAGGGGAGGAGGTGTGAGCTAACAAATACGACATACCAGCAACATCGTACTTCTGCCACGTGAGCATGATCTCAGGTGCGCGATAATAGCGTGTAGAGACGTAACCAGTCATCTGAGGATCCTGAATGCGGGCTAGACCAAAGTCGCAGATCTGAGCGGGAGTGGAGCTGTTAGAGTGGAATTGTGCAGGTAAAGTCCACTACAAACCTTCAAATCGCAGTTCTCGTTGACAAGTATGTTCGATGGCTTCAGATCGCGGTGGACGACGCCCGCCGAATGAACATACTTGAGGCCTCGAAGGATTTGGTATAGGAAGTACTGGATGAATTGCTTCTCGAGAGGTCTCGCGGTGAGGAGACGGTGGAGATCAGTGCCAAGCAGCTCAGTAACAAAGTATATGTCCTCTGAAGGGCTGATAAAGATATCTGAGAGGCTAATGATGTTCTCGTGCCTGATATGCTTCAGGAGCTTCAACTCGCGATAAGTGCGCTTGCTGAGGACCGGAGTAGAGAAAGGCTTCATGATTTTCTTGATTGCAACCGGGCTCGACGTGAGCTGGTCTTTTGCCGAGCTGTTTTCGTTAGATTTGCGGGTTGAGCCGGGGCAGCAAGCCGGGAAATGAACCCACCAGACCAAACCAAAGGCGCCTAGTACGATTAGAGAGAGCTTTATTGTAATTCACGGACTCACCCATGCCCACCGGCTCCAAGTTGACATAGCGGCTTGTAATTTGGAAGAGTGTACCGAAGATGCTAGCGTTGACCTGCGAAATGTGCGTATGAGACGGCTGCGAGAATTGCCGACCAAAAACCTACGAAATCCGCCATCAATTCTTTCACGTTTTCTCACCGTTCGCTTTCAACGCCCAACACTCAACTCGAAATGGTAACCAACACAGAAAATTCACCCACGCAGCTCACACGCTGCCCAGTTCCTGACGCGCTCTGAATACGACCGCGGTGTTTCCACCTTCTCACCAGAGGGACGTCTCTATCAAGGTGAGTATGGCTGACGTGGGCTGTTTCTGTATTTCTAACCAACGGCTTAGTTGAATACGCAATTGAAGCTATAAAAGTTGGTTTTCAACCTCCAAACCAGCCCCGCTAATCCCCCTTCCAGCTTGGCTCTACTGCTGTCGGTGTAGCCACTCCTCACGGTGTCGTTCTCGGCGTTGAGAAGCGCAGCCAGTCACCTCTCCTTTTATCCACTTCTATCGAGAAAATACTCACCATCGACTCTCACATTGGCTGCGCCATGTCTGGTTTGACCGCTGATGCACGCACAATGGTCGATCACGCGCGCGTCGTAGGCCAGAACCACCGCTTTTCGTACGACGAGCCTCTTCTCGTCGAGAGCTGCTCCCAGAGCGTTTGCGACCTCGCTCTCAGATTCGGTGAAGGTGTCGATGAGCAAGACGACGACGAACAAATGATGTCACGTCCTTTCGGTGTTAGTTTGCTCCTCGCTGGTATCGACGAGCGCGGCCCTCAGCTATACCACACTGATCCTTCAGGTACTTTCATGCGCTACGACGCTAAGGCTATCGGTTCTGGTAGCGAGGCTGCTCAGTCTGAACTCCTCGATAAATACCACAAGAATCTTTCCCTAGAGGACGCTCAAGTGTTGGTCCTCGGTGTGCTCAAGCAGGTTATGGAGGAAAGGCTCGATGAGCACAACGTACAGCTCGCTCAAGTCACACAGGAAGAAAGCTTTCGTATACTGCCTATAAACCAACTCCAAAATGCAATCTCCAGGCTACCAAACCAACAACCAACACAGGAGCCCCAGCAGTGATGTATCAATTGTATAGCATTAGCAGACAAAAGAGAAGTAAGCAAATTAGTATATCCCAGTGTGATGGTAATTATGGTAGTTATGATACTGATAGTAGTCTTGGTATTGAGAGTCGTCATAATAATAACAGTCGCAATTTGCTGCGTTTAGATCTGTAAATTCGTCGTATGGTGAAACGATGGTATCTTTGAAAGAGAAAGTGTCACTGAGGAAAGGTGAGCCGAGTTCTCCTTGGTTGTTGGTATTAGTGGTGGTATAAGTGCTTGATGTGCTCTCACTCCCGGGTGTGCCTTTGGTGCCCTTGCTCCTCTCATCAGTACTGCACGTACAAGTTTCAAGAAATTTGTTAGTATCGACGGGCTGTACACTCGCGCTCCTAACTTCTTTACTGGGAACTCTGATTTGATCTGTACCCAGCGTCTGTGATCTTCTCCTGCCCGCATTGAGTGGTTTCTTCACCTCGCCTCCGTTCTTCCCTATTTTTTCGTGTCTCGCCCTGTTAGCTTTATGAGCAATCTCCCGTACGCGTTTTTGCACGCCATCTGAAAATTCCCCATCAAACTCCATCTGCGCCCGTACTCCTTGTTTTTCAAGTAGCGCCGCTTCAGCGAATTTATCCCGCACTATTTTATTCTCATTTCTCCACATATCCGACACGGACCGCGACAATTTTGACTGGTCGAGGCGGATGTTATCGCTGATTTGTATCAGGTGTCTGAATATAGTAGTTCTGTAAATTATCCATGCACTGCGCGTGTGCTACCTTAGCTGGTTGCATTTGTGGTGCCGCTTCTACTCACTTTCTCTTCTGCTTCGGTGGTGAGCCCATATTCATCCTCCTCCTCTTGCGTGTATTGTGCGCAGGCTGTATCGCTATTGGTGGCGGCGACGGCGTGCGCGGTGTACGCGGCGTCTGAGGCATACTCCCTACTCTCGAGTCAGCGTCTTTGCTGAGCTTCCTCTCGGCTGTATTCCTGCTCACTCCTTGGTGGGGTGCACGGCATCTACCACTTCTTTAGTTGTTTTGGTTTTTATTCTTCACGGAAGACTGGAAGGAATAAGTTGGTCGTTTATTTAGTTGCCCGGTATACAAAATTAACTGGCGAATCATCCGATCTCTGATCTAAGTGGGGGTCTAGCGGTAAGCAATGACGTGAGCACTGCGAATGCTATCATAAAAGCTGTAATCGAATATTCGCTACAGCCTCACCCACAGATACCGTCTCGCTTCTTGGTGCCTGCATATGCATACGTGTATGCGCGCAGGGGCCTCTTCATCGTTCGTTTGAGCCTGTGCATGGCAAGCTGTGTCCTAATAAGCACATCTAAACACCGTCTTCCTCACTGCCCTCCCACCTCTCGTCAAACCAACCACATGACGCGTGCCTGGCAAACGCTCGGACGGCCTTGGTGGGGAAAATAAACTCGCTTACGTACTTAAGTCACAAATAATAATTTTGGGGTATTTAATAAAGCGTCGGCCCTCGCAGATCTAGGTACGTCCTCGCACGTCCTTATTCGTCCTGCTGCCTGCTGCGCGCGCCTTTTTCATCCCATCTATTACGCCTCTCATCAAGCTAATTTTCTTAGAACTTTCACTCAATCATGCTGCAATTAGTATGAATTGCAATGGAGAATCAATACATGTGTGTTTGAATTGGTTTTTTGAAGCGTTGATGGATATCGTCTTGCATTTCAGGTATTTGAAAAAAGCACGTCGGTAGTGTAACCGTCATAAGTACTCTTTCCCAGCGTATCGTTATAAAGTTTTGAGCCTCTTTGAAACCTTGCTTGGATTTATCTTTGTCATACCTTTAGCAACCACTGTGTTCAAGGATCGGTGTGTATCAATAAAGACATTTAGAGATCCTATGTCGATTCCTTCGCAGATATCTGATAAGTCTAACACTTATAATGCTGGGAAAGTCCTCTCAAAGTGACCTTCGTCAAACATTAATACAAACTCTGGACTTTGTTATTTAGTCATGTCAAGCACTCTCAAATTGACGAATTTTGACAACTACTGAATTAGTTCATGTTCCACTTAAAGCAAAACAATGTTTAACATAACGACAGTCAACTTGTCAGGAAAACCACCCCAGTTTGATATGGCTCCAAATCGCCATAATTTGATTGTTTCGATTTCTGGTAAGGCATTGATCAAGGTCCACATTGTAGTGATCTACATCAAGACTTTTCAATTGTCTCATTTCACGAGGAAGCGGCAATGTTGTGATATCTTCATCTTTTAAAGGTTGAGCATTGAAGTGGATTGTTTTAACTCAGATTGATGATATGAAAAAAGAGCCTCCTTGATTTCCACCGAATTCTATAGTGCATTCGATAACTTTTATAAAAGTGTATTGACTGTCGACATTCTCGAATTCCCCCAAATAGGCGTGCAAAAGAGACAAATTGCACAAGCTGTTACGTATAGTTTGAGGGAAATGAGCAGGTCGAACGCCCACTCCTTCACAAGTTCGATCGGTTATAAAGACATTCTCACACTTCAAATTGAAAGGAATATGGAAGTCGGGGAAGGGAAATATCAATTGCAATCCGAATTCGTTCAAATTCAAGTTTGCTACAAAACCTTTGCAGATCGTGTTGAGAAGATTTTGATTGTAAACTGTTAACTTGAGCTGGGCTATCCCATCATGCTGTCTGCGAGGGGCAGCTAGCCAGTTCTTGATTGGAAGAATATCTTCGTTGACTTCAAATTCAAAGCAAGCTGAGTTGTGGCTGATTTTATACGTGCGACTGGATTTCCTCACTTTTTGAGTACGTCGTAGCCTCCCTCCAATGTTTGTTTATCAGTGAGAGATTTCTTGTCGTTGGCACGGTCGCGCTAGACAAATTTAGATCTCAGTATCATCAAAGCTGTCCGCTATTGTTGTAATAACATTTATAGGGAGATTCGCAGCGTTTAGGATGATGTTGGTGGTTAAGATGGAAGAGGACGAGATATGGCAAACTGTGATATGGAAAATTCCTTGAAGTGATATCGCGCTTTGAACGATGCCTGGAAGTCACGATTCAGTAATACACTGAAGTACGCAATAGAGAAAGTAAGAAAAATCTATATGCTAATAGACCGCAAGCACTCGATCATTCCAATAATACACCTTTAAAGCCGCATTTCATGCTTTCTGACGCGTGACGTCCATATGAAACATTCTTGTCTCATGGCTAAAAGTGAGACTAGCTCAACATCTGTATTTGTAAGCGACTGCAGAAATGTTTGTTGAGAACGGTTAGATTGCATGGCATGATTTATTTTGCAACTTGTGGAGGTTGAGATAAGTTGGCAAATTTTAGGCCGTTTGACTTGTGTTGAAATAGGCCATCTTTGTCATATCTTCGGATGTGATCATGTGCGAAGGTTCAAGTGATATGCTAGCAATGGAGGCACTAATATTCTAACGAAAGCACACGAATTCCAGAAAGAAAAAGATTTTTTTGGTCTTCTTCCACCCAATCAATCAATATCCACATAGTTGAAGTTTCCAGATGGCAGTGATCAGATCTCAACTGGCTGATTTACAACATTTGGAATTCTCCAAAAAAAAAAGGCTTCCCTAATAGCCCAATGTGTGCTATGAAAGGTGTTGATATAATCATACCGCTGGGGTCCCTGTCGCGCTTTGCAGGCTGTCCGAAAGTTGGGATTCGAGATCACTCAGGAGCACGACATAGAGCTTATACAATAAAATTGACGCATCTATCTGATTTGAGCTACTATCTTAGGCTAAAAAAGCAGCAAGCATCTAAATAGCTCAAGTATTCTACCCTATGGCCGCTTTTTACGTTTTCCGACGCGAGAGGCCAACAGTAGGAACAGGACGCAACGTTGACTCCAACAGAAAAGTAGGGTTCCTCCATTTTATCAAACATGTATTGAAATTGGTTTGTGTTACCAAAAATGGGGGCCAGCTTAACTCTGAAATCGGGGGTTTGGCTTGGCCCAGTGCATTTCGAAAAATCATCATATGGAGGGAGGACCATTGCAGAGGTGTTATTGGAATATCTGAGAACAGGGTAATGCGAATGTGGTTTATGAGGCTTAAAAATAACTACAAGGCATCAAATGACTGCGTGTGCAACGATTATCAGCAAAACGAATGACTATGGGATGACATTCAACGGGATTGCCGCATCGACTAGACCTTCAAGTCAATCGCAGACTTAGTCGCTAAAAAACAGTACCACCATCACTCATGTTTGCATCTCTTCTGGCGCAATAACTTATACGTGCCATTCTTGAGCCGAAGAGTCGTTGACGGCAATTTGGCGCGGAAAGGGTCTTCATGAATCGAGAACAGTACAGGAAGGTAATAATTGCACAAAGCATCAAATAAAACTAAGACCATCATTGCGATTGCTCTTGGATACACTTTGTAATGGTGTAAGACATTAGACGTCCTCGCAAAGATTTAGGCATGAGAAACAAGTTCATTCTAAATAGTACAAAACAAAAATTACAATAGCTGGGACGGGGAAGGCGAGGTAAGCCCAAGACGCGTATTTCACTGGCCAAAACCGTAAAGGACTCTTCCTTGGCGTTTGAGGGCGTAGACGACGTCGAGAGCGGTGACAGTCTTTCTCTTTGCGTGTTCGGTGTAGGTGACAGAGTCTCTAATGACGTTCTCCAAGAACACCTTGAGGACACCGCGTGTTTCTTCGTAGATGAGACCAGAGATACGCTTCACACCACCACGACGAGCGAGACGACGGATAGCTGGCTTTGTAATACCCTGGAGGATTATTAGATGGGAACATAATTAAAAGCCTTCCAACTCACTTGGATATTGTCTCTGAGAATCTTACGGTGGCGCTTGGCACCACCCTTTCCTAAACCTTTGCCGCCTTTTCCTCTTCCTGACATTATACTAAGAGTTGTTGATGGAGATAGAAAAAGAAACGCGCTGGCTATTTATGCATTTGGAGCGCGCGCGAGAGATCACGGTCTGACCAGATCAAATTTGGTTTTTTATATATAAAACGCGTGATGCTATCGTGTAGAGGGGTCAATGCAAGATCAAAACACATCACCTGATAGACAGAATTTTTAGCTGTAAGCTTGTATATTTTATTCTACTTTTATTTCCTCTTGCCAGACACTACCTATTTTAGATCATTTGCGCGTGATCCTCAGTAGAAAATGATTCAACGACGCGCGACTATATAAGGCGTCCATAGCCTCTCTTCTCAAAACAGCACACATCTCCAAATAAATTAGAATGGCCAGAACTAAGCAAACAGCCCGCAAGTCCACAGGTGGTAAGGCCCCACGTAAGCAACTCGCCACTAAGGCAGCAAGAAAGACAGCCGCCCCACAAGCAGCCGGTGGTGTCAAGAAGCCACACCGTTACCGTCCAGGTACTGTCGCCCTTAGAGAAATCCGTCGCTACCAAAAATCGACCGAACTTCTCATTAGAAAACTGCCATTCCAACGTCTCGTCAGAGAAATTGCCCAAGACTTTAAGACAGACTTGCGTTTCCAATCGTCCGCCGTCATGGCTCTCCAGGAAGCCAGTGAAGCTTACCTTGTCTCACTCTTCGAAGACACCAACCTTGCTGCCATCCACGCAAAGAGAGTTACCATCCAACCAAAGGACATTCAACTCGCCCGTAGACTCCGTGGTGAGCGTGTCTAATTTGCTATTATTAGTTGTATTATTTATGTACTATTTATTCATTTGCATTACTTGTCATAGTAGATTGTTAAGATTTTGTTAAAATCTTAACCTTTATCCACAATGAAGCGGCTTTGAACCATTCTATCAATTGATATGTTGTTATAGTTTAAAAAGGGTGAAACACGTGTGTTGATCTCAATTTTTTTTTTCAAATATAATCTCCATTTGGATCAATGCATTGATGTTGTTTACATTTACATCCTTTGAGCACTAATAGCATTCATTCTTGCTGGTTTATCTCCTTTGTTTTCGCACCAATCTTGCAAAGGGGGCATGTCAATCTGTACCTGAGACGGCAGTAGGAGCGATTTCTTTTTCTTTTCACAAAGTTACAGTCATAGCATTCTTGCCAGATGCACCATTGGTTACGAGCGGCTCCTCGAGTTCCTGTAGGGATTTAACATACATACGAGACCCAAACGCTCGACAGTACCTCCGATAAGGCCGTTTGGGCCCTTACATTGAAAGTTGCATCCGAACAGTGAATCTTTATTTATTTCGGGATTTGTATCAATCAAGCAACTGATGGTATTTCTCAATCATTAGAAATACCGTGAGTGAGATCACTATCAAAGACTTCATAATGTTCGCTGACGCTGAACAGTGTGACTTGAAGGATCTGCGACTGCAGCGTTGACCGCAAGAGGGGTCAATGCGATAGCGATCCGTTTGGAAAACATTTTGGTGTCCGTGGGCTGATTGCGGAATTTCAGAAATACACTTTATCTAGCTTACTGAACTCCGCTACTTGCCAATTAGAATGTCAGTTTTGTCTGACACTAGGTTAACGATCTAATTGCATGGGCAAATAGGCGTTAAAAGCTCAAAGTGGAAATAGCTATTGCCTGAATATAATCGGGCAATAGATATAGGCTAGAAGACTGCATAATATGTCTACAAAATTTTCTTTACGAAGATCGAGGAGGCTCGTAGTGCAGGGCGACACAATTGCAAAATCACCTTCAAAACACAGACAAATACCGTGTTTTTTTCTTAGTGCTTTCCCGTTAAAACTCGATCGTATTTGTATCTTTACAAATGGTATCATAATATAGTCAAGACCTCCCGGTCTTATAACTCCAACTATTTAAGTGTTGAACTTTCATTCAATTGTAAGGAAATGCAGTATATGCACTCTTTCTATGTCTTAGTATGCATAATCATCGCAGCGCTATGAAGTAAGTTTGGTGCAGCCTCTCAAAGTCCTAAATAATGTCAGCGTACTGACGAGCACAACCAAGATTACTCTCACCCCTCATATAGTAGCCTCTTTTGTCGTTGCCCTTGTAGTTGCATCTTCTCCGAGAATCGACAATGTGTGGGTTCGTGTTCATAATGGGGCTTGGCGGCGTATCTTTCTCGCTAACAAAGTCGTGATGGTCGGTGACATGTACTTCCTCGTACTTCAAGCTTTGTTTATATGGGTCGACTGCTGCATTATTGATTGTGAAGGCGATTGAAGCGATTGTGATGAATTGTGAAATCATGTTGATGGTATTGAAGTGATGGAACGCTAAAATTACATAGCACTGTCATTAGTCTTCACATGTGGGCGGCAAAGCTAACGTAAATTGACAGACAGACTCCTCTTTTGACAGCTGACAGCGGTGTCTACAAAAATTCCATATATACACTTTTTGATAAATCAATCAGTAATTATTGACAGATGACAACAAAAGTTGCTAACATACTGCTTTCGATAATCCGATGATGCTGAATGTTCATTGGCGACGTCATCTGGTGATACGTTTGAGGGGAAGAAAGGAAGATTGTATAACCGTATTACTTGGTAAAATTGAATGACGTCTTGAAGTTCGTATTCCAAATAGCCTTCAAATCGCCTATTCCTTATTATTGGCTATATTGCTCTTGCAAAATTCAAGGCAGAAAGCTGCTTTAATTCTTAAAGCCGAGATTCATCTGAGCACATCTCCAGGCTGAACGTCTTTGTACTCGTTAATATTCGCCAGCATTAGCTCAGTGCGATTGCTCTTTATAGCGCACCACCATTTGCATTGTATAGAAAGCGCCGATGAGCATGTCGATGAGCATGTATCGCACTCCATGCGCGGCAGTCAGTCGAATCCGTAAATCTCCGCTGGCCTTCCTCGCCTCGGAGATCCGCAATCTCTCAACGACGACACGGAGATGCATCAACATGGAAGATTACCCCACAGAGAAGATACGCAATTTCTCAGTCGTAGCGCACATCGATCATGGGAAGAGCACGCTCTCTGATCGCCTCCTCGAACTCACCAATACAATCAAGCCCGGCCAGAATCAGCAAGTGCTCGACAAGCTGGAGGTGGAGCGTGAGCGCGGCATTACAGTGAAGGCGAATTCATCGAGCATGCTTTATGATTATAAAGGGGACAAGTACCTTCTCAATCTGATAGATACACCCGGACATGTAGATTTCAGCTACGAAGTGAGCAGATCGCTGGGAGCTTGCGACGGTGCGCTGCTGCTGGTTGATGCTACGCAGGGTATTCAGGCGCAGACGCTGTCTGTGTTTGAGCTTGCCAGTCAGCGCAATCTCAAAATCATACCCGTTATCAACAAAATAGATTTGCCGGCTGCGGAGCCTGACGCTGTTATTGAGCAGGTGCTCATGCAGTTCGACCTCGATATAGACTCTGCTCTGCCCATATCAGCCAAGTCAGGGCTGAATGTAGAAAAGGTGTTGCATGCGATTGTCGACCAAATACCTCCTCCTCCTCCATCACCTACTCCGCCCCGCCAACAGCCCCTCAAAGCGCTCCTGTTTGACTCATACTTTGACAAATTCAGAGGCGCAGTGTCGCTCATCAAAATTGAGAGTGGGTCGATACAGAAGGGTGGGAGCCAAATATTTCACATAGCTCAGCCCGTCTAACACACTACCAGGTGATGTTGTCGTTTCGCACCACTCAAAAAGCAGGTACACAGTGGGGGAGGTTGGTGTGCTGAATCCAGCCGAGAAGCCGACGACGCATCTGCAGCACGGACAAGTGGGATACTTGGTGTGTGGAATGAAGGAGTCGAGCGAGGCACACATAGGTGACACAATCTACAAGCAGTCGCAACCAGTCGAGCCCCTCCCTGGTTTTCAGCCAGTCAAGCCGATGGTCTTTGCTGGAGTGTTTCCCGTTGACAACAAAGATTTCCTGAGACTAGAAGAAAATGTGAAGAGACTCACTCTCAACGATCCCAGCGTGACTGTGAATAGAGAGTCCTCGAATGCCTTGGGACAGGGCTGCAGGGTTGGATTTCTCGGACAACTGCACCTCGATGTATTCAGGCAGCGCTTGGAAGATGAGCACGACTCGGAGGTTATCATCACCGCACCAACTGTCCCTTACAAGGTGATCCAGGGCGGCGAGGAGCGGATAGTGCGGGTGCCTTCAGACTTCCCCGAGCCGCACGAGCTTTCTAATAAGAAAGCGTCGCTATTCGAGCCCTACGTGAATGCGGAAGTTATAGTGCCTGATGAGTATCTAGGCAGTGTGATAGAGCTCATGTCAGCACACCGCGGCGACCAAGTCGCGTTCAACTATCTCGAGAACTCCAATCCCCCGCGGGTGCACCTCAAATATCACGTCCCGCTCGCAGAAATAGTTACTGACTTCTACGCCAAACTGAAATCGGCGACTAGCGGCTATGCATCTTTCGAGTACCAGCAGGCGGACTACGTCGCTAGCGATCTCGTCAAGCTGAACATGCTGATTCATCATAGGCCGGTTGATGCACTTGCTATGATTGTGCACCGCTCCAAGTCGATGGATGTCGCCAAGCACTGGGTGAGCAAACTCAAAGATGTCATCCCAAAACAGCAGTTCGAGGTCGCGATCCAAGCTGCCATTGGACAGAAGCCCATCGCCAGAGAAACTATCAAGGCCATGCGGATGAATGTGACGGAAGGGTTGTACGGTGGTCACTTTGACCGTAAGCTCAAAAAACTTAACCAGCAGAAACGCGGTAAAGCCAAGCTAAAGACGAAGGCAGTGGGAAATATTCACTTGCCTCAAAGTGCATTCTACGACCTCATGAAGAGTTGAAAGAGTAATGTATGTGGGGTGTGGAGTGGTCGACAAGTCTTAAAAGGTTCCGCAATATTGTTATAAATGTTAAGTATTATATTCGTAGCTAGGTCGTTTTGTAAAAGTACAGTGCATATTACAGTCTATATTTGAAGAAATGAGAAAGTGTGTGGCGTTATGGCGACTTTTGATTTTCACTCTTGCTTCGATTGAACCTGCGCATACTCATACAATAGCTTCAACTCATTCAACTGTATATCCTCAACTATCTTTCTCGCTCGAGGGTTGTCCATGGCTTCCAAATCGATAACCTTCTCAATGACTTTTTGGTAAGACACATGGTTATATACGCGTTCTAGAAGCGGAAATTGCATCATACTGAGCTGCTTAAACACTTTCAAGCTGTCTGTATCCAATCTTCTTCGCAGCGCTATCGCAATTGTGTATAGCAGCAGACGATCATCGCTTCTGCCCATGCTAGCAGTGCGGATAGCGTTGTCGAGGTCGTCGTTGAAGAGGTAGAGGACTGGATCACGTGTCATTGTGCTGAAAGAGGTAAAATATTACGACTTACTCGCCCTAATTTGTATCGAGGGGACGGTGGCAATTGTATTACTGAGCAAAGGATTGAAAATGAAAAGCGGTGAGAGTTCTACCGATGGCCGACTCGATAATTGTAAATATATTTCATTTTCAGTCATTCTGAACGTTTACGAGATGCTTAAGATGTATCCAAATCCGTGGTTTTGTAGATCAAAACGTCACCCATTAGTAACTCAAACTAAGAAAAATTAAAATAGAAAGAATGGGATGTACTATATAGTGATTTTTTTTCTAATATATCAACCTCTTTCCCATTACTAGGAGCATTTTTTGAGGCAACAGCGTCGACTCCACAGTACCCAACCTCAGACATGCAAGATGATTCAATCCAATAACATATCGGCTGGCTGTCTCTGTAGCGATTCACTGGCTTCACCGCAGCTACAACGCTTTCTTGAAGGGTCTTCAGGGTCGAACGAGATCAAGAGCCGTAGCATTGTCACTTGCGCAGTCTCAGCCTTTAATTGCTTCAACAATGCTCGTGGGTAGCTGCTTATTGTAAATTAGCACCGCTTAAACACATTAGGACCTCGAGGCGGGGAGCCTCCCAACTGGTTGTAAGCACGGTGAAACTCTTAAGATCACAGAATCTCATTATCATCAGCACATTACCGCGAATCCATGTATCTCACTGGCTATGAAGAGATAGACTTCTCGCCCGTACAAAGGCAAGCTACAACGCTGTCGGTTATGCAAGAGAAACTCAACAGGACGACCTCGATAGCATTAGCTTCGATAGCCTCAAAATTTGGAACCAAGAAGCCCATCAGCCGCATTTGCAAACTCTTCAAGACGCCCACCTCTAGCAAGGACGCTGAAAGTGCTAAAGATAAGACTTTCGAGGGCATACCGATGCTGGACTATTAGCATCGGAATTAAGGTGCTCCTCATCACTATCAATCCATGCATTCTCAATGCTCTTATCTTGCTAGGAAAGCAACAAGCCCATGGATTTCCAACTTGTACGACTAATTTAGAAATTTCATTCATTCATGCTCATTTGTATATAGGTGTTATGAGGTATGACGGTTAAAATCTGGTATTGTGACCTCGTCGACTGGAGAAAATTGTGTGCATGACCAATGAAGATCAATATAACGGCTCGGTACGATCCCTTGCTTCTTATCGAGTACCAGTGTCCCCGATGGATCGATGGCGATCACTTTTCTGACGATCGTCCAATTGACATCAAATTCGCCTAGTAACCAAACAAACTCTCCACTTTTCACTTCTAGCTCGTGGCTATTACTGCTGTGATCCGGTGTAAAAGTATTCAAAACTGGCTTCACGAGGGGGAATTGGTCGATCAAGCCCTGATGCCGCTTATCTGATACGCTATAAGCGTAATCTCTTATGCCTGCGTGTACGATGGTTAGTAGGATGAATTTCACATAAACCAATTGCCCACAAACCAAGTTCGATTTGTTTTGCATGTGAAGAGGAACAAAAGGCTTTAAATTTCCAACGCAATCGATGCATTCATTAAAGGCGTCAAGACGTCATGGAATATGTGGAATGTAGCCAGCACAGTGAACACACCACACTGGCTAAATACGCTGGAGCTTCAGTAGTGGCCCCGTTTCTCGTTGGTCATTTATACGACGCGTGAAAGTCTGAAACATCCTGTCAAGCCTTAAAAATTACCGAGAACCAAAGCAGCCAAATAAAAACCAATTACAAAAAGAAAATACGCCCTTGTTTAGTTTTGCGTCATCATGTGACGTTTGTTGTGCAAAGAAGGCTATGTGCGTGATATCTGTGCGTCACGTGCTGTCGATGTCATTGTTGAAATCAATATAACTGGTCGGCACCTTGATTTCATCGCCGACGACAGTCGTATGGTCACGACCCATGCTATCGACGACTTTTACTAAAACGTAGTTGTAGTCTATAGCAGAAAGAACGTAGACAAGCTGAGTCGCTGTAATGTGCACTTTGTCGTTCTCGAGCATAAAATCGAAAAGCATCCGTCTTGGTCCCGCTTCGATCGACATTGGGCTGTCACCCATCTGCTACAAAATTAGCTCGGCTTGTAACAGGGCGCGCTCACTTCTTGAAACCAGATTTTAGTTGTGGTTGTTGGTCAAGTCACGAATTATGTCAAAGCTCCACTATCTCCACTGCTTACCTATGATGAAACCTGAAGCGTATGTAAAAAAACCTTATCACGAATTTAAAGATGATCATTCGCAAGATTTATGCTTCACAACAAATATAACGTAATTTCAAACAGAAACGCCTAAAATTTTACAAATTAGTAAAAAGGTATTCAACTGCCGCATTGATGTCTCCACCAGTCGCCATCAGAGCTCTGATATTCTTGTTTGCGTCTGTGAATCCCATACCTGTCAATTGTGAAAGCTGTGTCTCGTATCTCTCCTCTGGCGGTCTTTGGTCTGTGTTCTGAGATGGCTGGCCGAAACCTCCGAAACCACCCATACCTCCAAGACCACCCAAACCACCTAATCCGCCTGCGCCGCCGAGTAAATTCTGGAGATTCTGTATACCAGCCATTGGATCCTGTTGCTGCTGTTGCTGCTGTTCACCTTGTGCGTTTGGCTGCTGTCCCAATGATCCTGGTGGTGGAAAGCCTTGTCCGCCGGCGCCATCTCCACCGCCAAATGCCCTCTGCGCCTGCATCATTGCGCGTATCGTCTCAGGATTCGACATCATAGATCTGAAGCTGCATGAGAGTTAAAACTGTCGCACCACCTAGAAGCAAAGCAGCACCCACAAAGGTGATTGCATAGTCTGACGCATGTGCTCACGTCTGTCAGCTGGGAGACTAGCGAATTGAGGGGAATTCAACACCTGATCGAGCATGGAAGGATCGCTCATCATTCTCGACATTTGGTTGGAGAACTCGGGACTGCTCATAAGATCCTGCAACATATTGGGGTTGGTTACATCAATGCCTTGGCTGTTGAGTGCTCCCGCCACTCTGGACGATCCCAGCTGCTCGATTAGACTGTCGTGGGCTCCAGCCCCGGTGGACAGCGTGGATGGAATACCGTTCTGTTCAGGAGTTGGCGCCGCGGTGGCTGGCTGGGCTGATGACGATGAGGGCGTAGATTTTGGCGCGCCCTTCACCATGTGCACCGTGTTGCCTTCTGCGATGCTGTACTTGCTCAACTGCTCCTCGTCCTTAAGCACTTTGCCCGAGTAGATGAGTCGAAGGCGTTCAGCCGGATACTCGGCGTTGAGCGTCTGCACGTGGTGCTTCAGCTCCAGCACCGTCTTCTCGGCATCTACGTCTATTGGGATCTTGAGGTCGTTGGACGCACGTATGATGAATTGTACCATGTCGTTCGTGGGTGTTTGGGATATAGAGTTGAACGAGGATGACAGAAACAATTTGAGCGGCAAAGTAGGCGGTAGAGAATCACAAATCAATAAATTTATTTACAAAGTGGCTGCATTCCTCATATGCTGGCAACAAACGATTTTGGTATATTTGTTAGAAATACTTGGATAGCATATCAGCTTCTTTCTCCATCTACACGATATCAGCTGAATTTGCGCTTATTGCACCGTTACCTACCTCCGCTAACGTTCTTGGCTGGCGATCCGAGTCCATTTTGATTTTAGCGTTTCTTATCAGCTCCTCGTAGTTACCCTGTATGTTCTGCTTTTGCAGCTCTTCGTAAATCTGGTCGCTGGACGGAAAGTCGTTTGGTTTTCTGGGTAGAACGTGAACGTGGATGTGCGGGACGGTCTGGCCAGCATCTACGCCGTCTTGTACTGATACAGTGAGAGCATTCGATCGCCACACGCTTTCTACGACCTGCGATACGCGCCGATTAGAACATGCATTCGCTGACACGCAGACACACCTTACCGACGCGCTGGACGGACAAAAACAAGTCAGATACTTCATCCGGGGAGAGCTCAGTGAATCTCTCCACCTTGCGCTGCGGAATCACAAGCACATCTGCTTCAACGTGAGCTAATGAATGAGCGCTATCTCCTGACTCACGACCTGGCACAATAGGCTTGAGATTTACAAACGCAGCTGATAGACTGGATCTGTAGAACGACTGGCTGGTGATATCAAACTTGTGGAATAACTGCTTGGCCATTGTGGTAGCTAAACAGTAAAAATGATAAGTCAAAGGCAAGTCAGCAAGTCAAAACCCCAAGAGGAGTAAAGCAGAGAACATAAAGGATATTATGTATACCAAAGCCTCTGCGAAACCGTTTGTCCAGAAAACTTCACTTCACGTTAAGCTTATTAACCCGCTCGCTGATCGCTCGAAAATCAGAAAATCATCCGAATTAAATTAATTTCTCAAGCTTCAAGCATTTACAGACTGTGTTGTACCTATAAATAGTGCATTTGAACCGAATCTTATCTTTTGCGTGCCCCACTCTCAAAGCGCTGATCACTGTCTTTTCACTTACGGCCAGCTTGAAATTCATAACGAAAACACAACACGAAATCACACAAAACACCCACAAGAAACCTTGAAAACAGTTTAATAAATTTAGTATGACTGAATTCAGCTTCCCACAGAAGTCTAGGCGATCGTCGCAGCAGGAAGTGGCTAAGGATCAACAAGCCCAAGAAGGCAACGAAGCCCAGGATTTAGCATCAGAAGGCTCCCATAAACACACTGACAAAGCCCAGCGACCAGCATATTCGCCCTCTTCATCTGGAGAGTTCGTCTACAGCAGACGGCCTACAAATCCTAGAGATGAGGTGTATTCGAGCCAGCAGCCTCAATCCAATACCGCTCCACAGAGATTGGAGCAGCATGTAGCCACCGATGATCCAAATCTCCCCTTACCAGGTTTGTGGTGCTATCGGCGCAAAAATGATGACTAACTACGTACAGACGAAAGGACACCATCTTCCGCTGATGACAGATCAGTCGATTCCATCTCCACCACCAACGCTGATTCTGGTGAAGATGGCCCAACTTTGGATGAGGAAACCCAGCGCGAAAACGATGCTGTCAGTAGCGGTTTGAGTATGTCAGGTGAAGATGCCAAAAGAGGCAAAGAAAAGGATGAGGCAGTCCAAGATGCTAGTCAGTCCAATGAATTTTTTAAATATCGCACCAGTACCGCCGCTGAAGCTATGGAATCACACATACAATATAATCGTCAGAAGGATAAGGAAGATTCCGCTGATGATCAGTATAGCACAGTAGATATTTTTAGTAAACCATCAAGAGAAGAGACAACCAATAATACATCATCTGACACCGCTTTACCGAAATTCCCAGCATTCTCACTCAAGGAAGCCCAAGACGGATTCTATATCCAAGTCGGTGATAATCAGATCCACACATGTGAAGATGAACCCATTGCAACACCTGGTGCCATACAAAGCTTTGGATGCTTGCTTGTGGTTGAATTGTATGATGATGAGTTGCGCGTCATGCAAGCGTCAGAGAACGTCAATGTACATCTTGGTACTTCAGTGCGCAATCTCTTCAAGCTTAACTGTTTGACCGATATTCTCAGTGCCGAAAGCGCGTCTAAGCTGCATGATGTTATTATCGAGCTAATCGAATTGGACGGAGACAAGAGAGATAGAGAAGCGATACACACGTTCTCCTTGTCAGGTGTAGGGAAGGAAGGCATCGAGGGTAGCCGAGAATGGTGGTGTTGGTGTGCAGCGCAGAAAGCTACCACTACCGCAGCTGTTAACGATATGGAAAATGAACTAGGTGAAGAACCCGTTCATCATAACAGTCAAGATCAAGGTGGTCGTCGAATTATTCTCGAATTTGAACCGATTTATGATCCAGCCGCTAAGGCAAAAATGAGTAACGCTGAGATACCTAGAATTTTTGACAAGGATATCCACCCGTTATATCCCATTAACTTGTTCAAGCAAAGCAGCAATTCTGCTGAAGACACTATCAGGAATAACGGCTCTGTTGATCATACGATTCAGTCAAACACGAACAGCACAAATGACACTGTTAAACCTAATAACATGCAGGAAGTCACTGACGTCAAAACAAATAACGCAGATGAGCAAAATCCAGACTACTACGACGAGCCTTATTGGAGTTTGGGACAGGACAGCTATGCTACTCTGCTTGAAATTCGCCGGTCTACTATCAGTAAATCTAAGCCACTCAGGATACTGCAAAGATCACAAAGGACTAACAAGTTGTTCTTGGAGAAGCTTGAAAAGGAGAGAAGGCAATTGGAAACGCTAGACGACTCTAAACGTGCCATACGAGAAGAGGAGATGGATCGCGAACATTTGAGCGCAAAAATAAGAAGACACATCAACAATCCAGATGGAATTAGCTCACTAGATGTTTTGAGTCTTTGTCAAGAGATTGATTCCCAACTTGCTGAAGCAGCAGAGAAGTCGATTGAAGACCTCTACGATGTCATCGTAGGTCTTACAAAGGATATTACCAATTTTGACAGAGTGCTGTTGTATAAGTTTGACAGCGAAGCCAATGGAAAGGTTGAGAGTGAACTCATGAACTGGCAGCGCTGCAATGAAATTTTTCATGGGCTACATTTCCCTGCCTCTGATATTCCCGCTCAAGCTAGAGAGCTTTATAAACACAGCAAAGTTAGGCAACTTTTTGATCGAGATGCAAAGATTAGTCAGGTGGTTGTCAGAAACAAAAATGACTTGAAATATCCACTAAATATGAGCGGCTGTGCTCTTAGAGCTATGTCGCCAATACATATTCGCTATTTAAAAAATATGAATGTCAGGTCATCCCTGTCAATCAGTGTTGTCACGCAGCGTCCTAATAGTAGCAATCTCTTTGGTTTGGTATCGTGTCACTCTTTCGAGAAGGAGATGAGAGTTTCATTCCCTCAAATGCAACTACTGAAGGTGAGTTTAGTTCATTGCCCGACTCAAACAACCTAACAAAGCTTCACAGATGTTTTCTGATATGATATCTAGAAATATGGATAATGCAATATATAGAAAACGTCTCATGGGACGAAGCATTCTGATGAATCCAAATGACACAATGAGTGGAAGTATCTCGTCAAATAAAGACATTGATCTACTTCGCCTCTTCGATAGTGAGAATTTAATTATCTGCTACAATGGCAAGATGAAAATCATTGGTAATGATGAGTATTACGATGACATTAAGCAAATTGGAAAGTACCTCAAGCAGAAGAAGTGGAAAGATATTCGATACACAACAAGACTGAAGCGGGAATATCCTAATATAGAGATAAACAACGAACAGAACTTATCGGGATTGCTATATGTCCCACTCAATGACAATTCTAAGGAAGCGCCTGGTGATCACTTCATTGCGTTCATACGCAGTGGTCAATTGGAAAATATTTCATGGGCTGGTAATCCGAGTGAAAAGACTGTGGGTAGTACACCCCTTCAACCCAGAGCTAGCTTCAAAAAGTGGACAGAATCTGTCACCAGTACTGCAAGAGAATGGCGGCCGGAAGAGCTTGAAAGTGCATCTGTCCTCTCAGCCGTCTACTCAAAGGTGCTTGGACGTAATCGTCAGAGTACAAGATCTAAGCTGTCTGATCTGTTAATGACCAATGTAGACAAAGACTTTGAGCATGAGCTGCGTACACCTCTGCATCATTTTTGCAGCTATTTGGATATGGCGTTGGAGAAGAAGGAGGGTGTGTTTGATAAAGAAACGCGCAAGAATCTCAAAAAGACTAAATCTAGTGCTCAGAGCATGCTCTATGCAGTCAATGATCTCATATCGCTCACCACTCAATCGGAAGAGAATGCGCCAGTCAAGAGCGCTATGAATATCGTTAGCAATGTCCTCGATTGTGTTGAGATGTTCAAACAGGAAATGATCAGCCGGAATATATCGATCGAAATAGAAACAAGTCAAATAGAAAATCCATTCATAGTTTCTGATAATAGAAAGGTTTGTGTTTTGTTGTTTTTCATTAACACTAACTCACTCCCCTCAGATCCGTCTAATAGTCAAAAATCTTCTCGAAAATGCCATCAAATATAATCACGAAAAAGGCAAAGTGTATATCAAGTTGACGTCCATATCTGAGCATGAGACTGATCAAAACAACACCTCAGCTATAATGCTTACAGTTCATGACACTGGTACCGGTATTTCGCAAAGACGCTTAAAGGAGATGTTTCATGGATTTGAAAAGCTTGAGAATACTAGTGGGACAGGTAGTGAGCAAACTGAGTCAGTATCGACACATGACAGCTCCGAGGGCAACTCTTTTGGAAGGGGCTTGGTGCAGGTCGCCAAAGCTGTTTCTCTGTTACAAGCGAAGATGACTTGTTCATCTCGGAGAGGTAAGTGTTGGTATCTCCAAACAATTCGTTTAACAGCTTTTAGGTGAATATACGAAATGGCACGTCACTATCCCGCTCAGCTTGGCGAGCCAGAGCGATATTGAGGATCTCACCAACTCTAACACACAGTCTTTGAGCGACGCATCAAGCAAACCGTCTGCACAACGTAAGAGTTTAAAAGCCAGGCATAAGCCGTCGATGTCTCAGATAAATCAGACCAATGACTCAGAGAGTGCCATGAGTGAGTCGAAAGCGGAAGGAGCCAAAGTGATAGATTATGCACCAGAACCGAGCGAGCATGGTGAGCCTCAAGACTTAGCGAAGGAAATAAAGGACAACCTCACTATTAAGGAGGGCCCCACCCAAACTCGTCTACTGGCTTGCGACGATGATCCTATCAATAATAGAATAATAGCAAGAAGACTAAAAGAAATGAACGTCGTACTTACTGATAACGGCCAAGAAGCGCTCGACCAGCTGAGTGGAGAGAATACCGGATTTGACGTGATGCTGTTGGACTTAATGATGCCAGTTTGTGACGGCAAAGAATGTGTGGGCAAAATTCGCAGCATGGAGAAGGAAGGCAGGTCTTTCAGGACTAAGAGCCAGAATGGGCCATTACCGGTTTTTGCCTTCTCTGCCTCAATCACTCAAAATGACCTGCCGACTTTGAAAGAACAGGGTTTCAATGGATTTTTCCTCAAGCCACTGCATTTTGCAACGCTTATCGAGATTGTCAACGCGCTTAGTAAAGAGGAAGACGTATCTAAATTCCAGTATAAAGAAGGAAAGAGATTCGAACGTGGTGGTCTCATTGGTTAGTTTCCAAGAAATTTCAATAACTAATTATATTTTGTTTGCGGGTTTTATTGTAGTATTTCTTTTTGTATACTCTGGGTGTAATAAATGTGCATAGTATTGCTTATGTAGATTGAAGGTAATTCTACCAGGCATAGGAGCTCAGGAACTTGAGCACCCAAGAAAAAACATTATACGCCAAATGCCACAAGCTAGACGTCACTGAGGAAGTCTTAACATCCTCTCACCTATGAAAAGCCTCGTGAGGGTCTTTTCGACTTTGGCTTGACAGCACACATACGCAGTACGGTCGGATGAAAGAACACGTGATTACAATTCGCTGTATTTCTATCTATATTGTAAACTATACACGCATTGATCACAAAATTTACTTCTTACGTATCGCCGACGATCACTCCAACGATCTTCGTCCAAGATTTACGTCGCCACCATCACCTAAAAAGTCGGGAAATAAATAAAGTCGAAATTCAGCATGGGCGATAGCGAAGGGGAATTCGTATTTCCCGTACGCAGCGTCTTTAATAGAACTACTTCGACGTTGTCTCTAAGCTCTGCGCCCAGTGCATCTCACGCTGACGCCGAAGCTAGCTCAGCGCGAGGTGAGCAGGACTGGGATCTTCAATCGAGCATTGCCAGCGACAGTAACAATACGAGCAAGGATTTCATCCAAGAGGAGAGCAAAAACGACTGCGCTCCAACCCAGCAGCCAACTTCACCAACTGCAAATCACGCAAATTTCGATAGACGCAAAGCTGAAAATGAGAAAGTCAGCTCCTCAGTTAGCCAGCCGAGGTCGGTCCCAAGGGGTATTGACAGAAATGTTCATCTCAATGATCCGAATCAGCCTTTGCCAGAAGATGAGGAAATGCAGGCTCAATTATCAAGCACAAGTCTTTCTAATGGTGCTGATGATAGCGCAGGTCCCACTAAGGAAGAAGAGGAAATGCGTGAGCGTGACCACATTGCCACTAAAATGGAAGATATGGGAGATTCGAACTCTTCTGGCAGCAGAAGCGATGAGGATGGTACTAGGGTGAGTTATAAATAGTCAAGCTGCTTAATATTTACATATGTTTCAGAAACAACCTTCTACTGCAGCGGAAGCAATGGACATACACAAAGATAAGCTATCTAAAGCAAATAATCTCAATAAACCATCAATTCCTATAAATGAAATTCCAATTGATCAAAGTGAAGGTGAATCATCCATTAATTCATTGGCGGATGAAGAATCACCTCTACCAACTACGAGGCGATTCCAATATTACGAAGAGAACGGTGAATTCTACTTGATCACACACCACAACTCAAAGATGAAAAAGTGTGAGGACGAACCAATCAGTAGGCCTGGTGCAATTCAGCCATTCGGAGCTATGATTGTGCTACAAAATGACGACAATGGCAACTCCATCGTCCGTCAAGCATCAGAAAATTGTCCTGACATTATTGGCTGTTCGCCAGAATTCCTCTTCTCCCTAAATTGTTTTACCAACATCCTCGACAATGACAGCAGATTAAAAATGAGAGACATTCTCTTCGATTTGGCTGTTGTGGATGATTCCGGATCCGATAGTTCTGGGGTTTTTGAAAAAGACAAAGCTCAAGTGTTTGCTGTCAGTGGCCGTGGGGATATTAACTTACAAGATCAGTACAGCGACAGTGCTTTCTCTGACGAAAGTAATCATAACAAGGTCTGGACTTGTTGGTGGTGAGTATGGTACCCAAGCTCTTATTACAATCTTACGAATTTGATAGTGCTGTTCACAAACCAGAACTACCACCACCTCTCAATAAACACTATCCACCTCCTGAAGAGGTGTTTGGCAGACAAGGATTTTACATATTAGAGTTTGAACCGATCGTATCGCTCAAATACCCTGCATATGTAGATGAAGTTTCCAAATTACCGAAAGAATTTGATGCCAGAGACGCAAAACCAGCCGAGTCTTTAGATCTCAATCTTAGCTCAAGCGGAAAAAATCCATCATCCGGTGTTACCCATGATACGGGCTCTACGACTGCGGCTTTGACCTCTAATTCTGGGAAAGGTGGCAATACTGGGACCACGCAATCTAGTGAAACCGTACATGCAGTGCCAGGTGAAGGCAATAAATTTAAAGATGAAAAAAGACATCGTCAGCAAACGCGCATGACAAATGAAGCAGTTGATGCATCTCACGGTAACGACGATGTTTCTATTGAAGATATTCGTCGTAGCACAACTCCATATCACAGGCCGCTTAAAACTCTTGCGAGAATAAGAAAGGCCGAACGTACTCACGAAACACGTCAAAGGGTCGCAACCTTACTTGAAAACGCTAATCAAGCAAATGAGGATGAAGAAGCAGCCGAGAAGCGTCGAAAGTCACATAGACGTGCACAAGCTAGATCGAAAGTTCAAAGAAGCATGAATATGCCAGGTAGTCTGTCATCATTAGATATTGTTGGCTTGTTGGGAGAGATAAATGAGCAGCTTAGCTCCGTTAATGATGTCCAACAGCTTTTCGATGTCACTGTTGGTATGGTCAAGGATTTGACTCAGTTTCACAGAATAATGTTGTATCAATTTGACCCTGAGTACAACGGCAAGGTTGTCGCCGAACTAGTTGACTGGCAAAGGATGAAGGATCTCTATCATGGCTTAAACTTTCCTTCATCTGACATCCCCGCACAAGCGCGCGATCTCTACAAGAGAAACAAAGTTCGTCAGTTATACGATAGAGATAAGCTTACTGCAAGAATGGTCGTTCGCGATGGTATAGATTTAGCATATCCTTTAGATATGTCCAATTGTTCTCTTCGAGCAATGTCGCCAATACACATCAAATATCTCGGAAACATGAATGTCAGAGCCTCACTCTCAATCAGTATAGTAGTATTTGGTCAGCTTTACGGTCTGGTAGCGTGTCATAGTAGCGGTGATAATGGAATGCGTGTAACATTCCCAATGTTGCAAGTTCTCAAGCTACTTTCAGACTCTATTTCACGTAACGTAGAGAGGCTGGCATACACACGCCGACTTCAATCAAGAAAGTTGATATCCACAGTTCCATCAGAAACTCACCCTGGTGGTTACATAGCATCTACAGCACTTGATTTACTTAGTGTCTTTGATGCGGATTATGGGCTTTTGTCTATTGGAGACACAATGAAAATTCTAGGCGATATGAATCGTAGTAGAGAAGTTATAGCAATTGGAGAGTTTTTGCGAATGCAAAGATTTGAGCAAATGATTTATACAAACAACATAAACAAAAACTTTCCTGAACTAGAGGCAAGCAGCTCAATCGGATCTATAGCTGGATTACTTTACATACCCCTTTCTAAAACTACTGAAGACTTTATCTGCTTCTTGAGAAGAGGTGAAATGTCGTCAGTGTCATGGGCAGGAAATCCTAATAAGAACAAGAATATTTCTTTACAACCAAGAGCAAGCTTTAAAAAGTGGACAGAAGAGGTTATGATGTCCGCGAAGCAATGGGAAGACGAGCAGCTCGAGACTGCAGGTGTACTTGCGGTTGTTTATGGTAAATTTATCGAGATATGGAGGCAAAAGACTGAACTCAGCAAAACCAGTCACCTGTCTCGTATTTTGCTATCGAATGCCTCACATGAAGTCAGAACTCCTCTCAATCACATAATAAATTACGTTGAATTGGCATTGGAAGGCAATCTTGACAACGAAACGAGAGAAAACTTGACACGCAGCAGAGATGCATCAAAGAGTTTGTTATTCACAATCAATGATCTACTTGATCTTACAAAGGTTGATTCTGGTCAGGAGGTGCTTTTCAATGAGCCAGTTCACTTGAAACATCTTGTTTCTGAAACTGTGCAGGAATTTAAACAAGAAGTGGAGAGACGTAGTCTCAATCTCAAAGTGAATGTCAAGCATATTCACTCTCATGTCATTAGCGATCATAGAAAGGCGGGTGATAACTTGTTAGAACAAGCAATGCTAACATGCTACAGCTTCGTACCATATTGACATCTCTCATAAGCAATGCAGTAAAATACAATAAAGATGGCGGTAATATTTTCGTCGGCCTCAATGAACTAGATAAGGAGTCTAATAGAGCAAACATTGCACTCACTGTTCAAGACGAAGGTGTCGGCATAAAAAAGCAAAAGCTTGAAGCTTTGTTTACAGGATTCGAAAAGGTTGATTTTCAATTAACAGAAAGCGGAGGCAGTGATGGATCCGATATTAATTTGGGACTCGGTTTGGCATCGTGTGCTAGAGCCATAGAGCAACTTGACGGACAGTTGAAGTGTTCATCCGAGCCTGGAAAAGGTAGCGTATTCACAGCAATTCTTCCTTTTAATCTACCAGATAAGGCGACTTTAGAGGTGGGTAGATGGATCTAGGTGATATTCTTATCTAACATCATTTCTAGAGTGCTTCAAACCCTGGTAGCTCTGATCTCTCTGAGCGTTCAGTGCGAATCAAATACCGAAACAAAGCTCCTCAAACAGAAGGGGATACTGTCACAAGTGATGAAGTTCAAACGATTGGAAAAGACTTACAACAAAGAAGTGAGCTTGACTCGTTTGTTGAAGCCTTAGCACCATCGTCTTCAGGATCCGGTCTGACAAAGAATTCTGAATCATCCACTGCACAAAAAATTCCACAAAGGGCACGCCCTGGTGATTCTGACCAAAGTATTGGCGGAAGCAAGAGTGCCAGTAGCAGTGGTGACAGCGGAAGCAGTAGCACAAAAGCTAAGAGGCGTTCAAGAAAAGGTAGATTTCAAGTTCAAGATAGCGCTTTTCCAATCAAGGCTGCTCCTGGACGTTCAACTTCCATACCGCAAAACGATATACATTCAGTCAGTGAGGGTATCGAGGGCTTGAGGGTGGCAGATACCGAAACTGTTAATAGCAAGAGTGATGTGATAATGGAAGATAAGGAGCACGAAGAAGTGCATGAGGATGACAATGTTATACCAGAAATTCCAGCCAGAGTGATCTATATTGACGATGATCCAATCAATCGCAATATACTGAAGAAGAAGCTATCCAAGGGTGACAGCTGCACAGTTGAGCTGGCAAACAATGGTGAAGCAGGTGCAGAAGCTGTAATAAACGACGAAAAAGGCTTTGATGTGGTCTTGATGGATCTCATGATGCCCATAAAGGACGGTTACAATTCATGCGAAAGCATAAGACAAGCGGAGAAAGCCGGAAAAGTTAAAGGCCGTAATTGGCATCGCATTAACAAAAGAATACCAATTTTTGCAGTATCTGCATCTATATCACCAAATGATCACGACGCATTGATAGAGTGTGGATTTGATGGTGAGTTGATAGCTGATGGATGTTGCCTTAACTAATTTACTCATCAGCCTTCTTCACCAAGCCAATCAACTTTGACTTGTTGAACAACAGATTGATTGCAGGTTTGATTGACAAGGATAAATATGTCAACGGCATATACAGCGAAAACTCAACTGAGAGTTTCGAGAAGGGTGGTTTTTTACGAGACCTCCAGTGAGAGGTGAAGAAAACGAAAAGTGTTTAGTTCACATATTTGGTTTTACTCGGGTGTATTTATAGGGTTCACGTGTACTAATAAATTAATGGGTTCATTGGTATTTGTTGATTTCAGACATTGATTAATGAGTAAATATAAATAAATAAAAAACTGGCCGAGTAGGGCATGGGTGAGCAGATGGTCTAAATAATGGCCTTATTTTTCGATACATTATTTCTGCTAAACAATTCGGTGCTTTTGTCTTCGAAAGAGCTGTATCGAGCCATCTTCATTGTTGAGCAGTCCATTAAATCTCACAACTTTCAGAGAGAAAAAAAGAAGTACCCGTATGTCTCAAAGAACCTAAATAAGCAAGCATTATCTACAGAATTAGTGGTGACATGAAATGAAAAATCTAGTGAGACTTGAAAGCAGATAAAGACTCATTGAACACTTTGTAAGGTGCGATGCGTTGCGCATTGACAACTTCCAAATCATTGATGTTCAACTCGATATCACCGAATGCACCATCCTTGAAACCACTTTTGGCGTAATCTTTGAGTTTGCGCTCCTTGACTAACTTTTCAAAAATTGCATGATTCTTCTTTCCATGTTCTCCTAATCCAGCTAACCCTAACGCTATTGGTGGTGGTATAGTCATTCTTCCGCACTTGTAACAGTACTGAGTAATAGCAACGCAATTGAGTTCTTCATCCGATTCGAGCTCATTGTAGGCCTGTGCAATCAAGTTGTTTTGAGCGGCGTCTTTTGATGTTGACAATGGAGTCGAGGTTCCTGAAGCAGCTTCCGGTGAAAGAGCGTGAGAGCCAGCAGTAGCCAAGTGAGTGGGGTTACCGTTGGAAGATTTTTGAGCCGCCTTTTTTGATTTCTTCGAAACGAATTTGCTTAAAAAGTAGTACCACTTGTCATTCTCGTAGGCGCCAATAGATGTCTGCATATGTTAGAAGATAAAAACAGAAATGCCAGCAGCACCAACCTTAATTTCATACTTCTTTCCAAATGGGATCTCCTTGATGAAGTAGTAGGTTGAAGCACCCAAAGGCGTCCAAATCTTAGCCTCCTTGAATAATCTAAAGTTAAGAGTTGTCCAGGCATCCAATCGAGCTGTGTCGAGGTTTTTGGCGTAGGAACTGTTTGATAGATGAAAGCCGAAGGCGTCACAGTCATCCATCGTAGCCCTAAACTTAGTTGTAGAGACCGTCTTAAATGGGTTTATCCCAACAGATTTGTTATGATCCTCAAAGAAACTGTGCCAGTAGACTCGACCAAACGTTCGGAAATGCCAAACGAGGGGAAATGAATTGAAATTGAGTGCCAAAATCACAACCACTGCATATTTAGAAATAGCCAGCAAAACCGGGCTGTACTCTTTGATCACGCTTAGCACGTCCATCGTTAGAGAAGACCGGAGACCGAGATTTGATTAGAGGTAATCTTGAAATCGTAAAATTGGTGACAATTAATTACATCATCTTAAGCTAATAAGGCGTGCTTGTACAGTATTTTCAGTTCTGAGAATTGTATGGCTTCCAGATTGTAACGCATAGCGTTATTATCTCTAATTTCCAATTCGACTACTTTATCTAGGAATTTATTATACGTGAGTGGCCGCTTATAGATTTCATCTATTAGGGGGTATTTTTCTTTGTGCAGCTCCTCAAATAAGGCGAAAGAGGCTTCAAAATCGAGCATTCTTCTCAAACACACTGCTTTCATGTACTTTAACAGATTATCATTGCCATGATATAGCGATATCGTCTCTTGGCATCCCTGGAAATCGTCATTAAGGAGTTGAAGTACTAGAATCTATTGATGAGACAGACGCGATCACGTATACTAGACTTACTACACCTGATATGAGCCGATTCAACACCATCTATTGCAGCACAAAGTGGCGGTCGATGAATAACTTCAGGCGTCAATAGAGGCGTTCTTGATACCAGCTCGTCGAAAATGGATGCTGGAGATCGCATCTTTGGGTCGCAAAACTAGACCCAGCAGAGTTGCAGAGTTTCGGAAGTTAAAGTCATCAGTTACATTGTGGCTTTCTAAGTTTTAGTTCCTAACGTCAGCCTGACGCATGCATTGGAGTGGTAAAACTTCATAGAAGTGTTGTTATTCGAGATACCCGGAAACGTGAAAATTTACTTTTAGGAAAGTTTATTAAATAACGTTTGCAAGTGAGGATTTTACTTTAATCATTACATATGCAGATGTGAGACACTGGCATTTGAACAGAGACAGCTTTTCCGGCGCGCGTATTTTACTAAAGCTGATAAAAATGTGTACATGAATGATTATCTTGGTAACTTTACACCTAAAATGAGAATATCCATCTAATATGTCAAGTTTCCGAGTAAATTGTCAACTAATCCTCCATTGACGGGTGCTTCCAAGTTACCCGCGTCTAAAGTCTATTTAGCATAAATGAAGCAAAATGCTTCACCTACTCAAGTTCACGCCAGCGTCTAGCAATTGAGGAAGTGGAACTGCAAACACATCTGGTGTCTCATCTTTAGTCTAAGCTTTTTCTCTCAAGTCTTTATTTACAATTGCAGAGCGTAGAGATGGTTATTAATGACAGTATCTTCATAACCAGACTGATGTACTACATTTCACTGCATGCCACCTTTCACAGGAATGACATTGGAATGTTATTAACGAGCGTGTATTGGGCTACATAGTTACAAGAAATTGTCCAGTGTTGAAATTATAGTAATTATAATTGAATGCCAATACCGACACCACCACCAAGTAAGCCACCACCAATTCGAATTCCACCACCGAGACTGAGAATGTTGAGGACACTGCCGAGCACACCGCCCACATTAGCGACAAGTCCTGACAAGAAACCACCGACGTGGCCTTGGAAAAGAGCATAAAGAAGTGTTGAAATCTCGTAGTAGCCTGATGCTCTTAATTGGGTAACAATTCTGACACTAAAGTCTGGGATGAGGCCATTGAGTAAATCCAAAAGCGCCTTGATTTCGACGTCGAGTGGTTGCACCAAACGTGCGACATCAACATTGGACTTGAGGAGTGCATCTAATTTTGGTGCGGACCTCTCAACCAAGAGACCAAGATCGCTGGCTAAAAGCCCCGCAATTGCGTCACCGTTTGCTTGGATGTTGCTTTGGTCCGACGCGTTTATGTTGTCGACGCAGCCCTTGACTGCTATTCTTAGTTGGTCGACTAATCCAGTAGTCCACTCGACGCAGGACTCAGCGCTGTCCGTTTTAAGCTTGTTGTCGAGCTGCTCGAAGCCGGACATTGCGTGAGTAAAGTCTTCGGACGTGCCGAGATTATTTACTGCATCAAAAGTTGACCACGTTCTCTTGTGGTTGATGATGTTCTCGATGTGGCCGAAACCGTCGTCGAGTTGTGATACCTGATCAGCCGGCTGGCTTGGGAGTGGTGCGGCAACAATCAATGCTAGCGGATGTTACTTTGCGTTTAGAGAGCTCTCTAGTACACTAACCTGCGACTGAAGCAATTGCTAAAAGAGTCTTGAACATTTGTGAAATTTTGTAACTAGTGTGTGGCTTGTTGTTGATACAAATAAAAGAGGAAATAGATCGAATTTATACTTAAGGAGCTCTCAGCACTGACCTTTCGTTACAGTCCACGTTGGGGAGGTATTATGTGGAATGAGGGGCTTGAGAAAGACGGATGATGTTTCAAGATGCAAGGGGCGCGTAAATTAATGTTACAAATGAATTTAAAAGGCGAAAACTAAGAGAGACATCTGTGCCGATGTAAAGGGCTTTTGGAGTAAAATGGGGGGAGTGTAAGTGCGCGGATTTGCTTTAATTCAACGCACGGAAAGCGATTAAGCGACGGACGGGAAAGCAAATTTATTGCACCAATCGAAAAAGCAAACACCTTCTACTCTTACATCAGGCAGAAATCCAAAACAAGAATATAAGTCGTCACACAAAACGTCATAATGGATTACACCAAAAAATATTTAATACACCAATTAGCAAGTTGAATTGACACTTCGAAAAAAATGTTCATTAGACAATTTACCAGACAGTTTACCAGCGCATGCAAGCCAAGAGCCTTCACCACCTCGACTTCCCGCCTCTCTGTAACAGACAATGTGAAGCAAGCTGTATTCGGCAAGGACGAAAAGCAGAAAGCCGCTGAGCAAGCAGAGGCAATGAAAGACGGCGCCAAGGCAGCAGGAGACAGGACATCTGCTAAAGGGAGCGAATTGGCCGACCAAACCAAGCAGGGCGCTGAGGGTGCAACTGAGCAAGTCCAAGGCAATGCCACAGCGGCGAAGCAAGCCTCCACTAAGACTGCAGAACAACTTAAGCCGCACGTCGAAGACGCAGCCTCAAGCACCAAAGACAAAGCTCAAGATCTCACAAACAAAGCCGCCGGTAAGGTTTCAGATGCCGCAAACGAGGTCAAGAACAAGACCCAGTAATTGCACTAGAGATTTGAGATGCAAAGGAAATTCAAGTATTTAAATCAAATACACTTTTCTACATATCTATATCTATATCTATAAGCTTTGTACGTTTTGTTATTAAATTTAAGAATCACTGATTCTGAAAGACCGACGTCAGAAAATCGTTCCATTCGAGATCTGCATTGTCCGTGGGTGTGACAAGGTCATTGAACGTGCTATCGAAGGTGCTGTCTATTGGATTTGATTGCATAAGATTGAACATGTTCGTTAGGAGCAGCTGGTCATCCCGCTCCGTGCCGCTATCATCCAATGCTGACGTGCTGTCTACGCTATTCATATCGGTCATCGGTTTGAGCCATGCAAAATGCATATCGTTGCTCCGCCGTCTTTTCGATGTCGTGTCGACCGGCAATTGGCATGCTTCTATAAGGTGCAAGACAACGTCGAGTGATTTTCCTGCTACTATGTCTCTAAATTCCCTCCTGCGCAGAACATTCACACCTGTTTCAATGTACTCGAGGTCTGAGTTCTGGTCATCTTGACCGCATCTTCTGCTTTCACATGCGCTGAGTATCAGTATGACGACAGCGTTAAATGGCTTTGCAGTGTCGTTAGAATTATTTATCCCGTAGATCTATACACCCACGCTCAAGTTCAACATTACGTCAATGTAGTTCTGTACGATAGATCTCTTCAGCTCCATGATGTTGAAGATACTGAGTAGCGAACGCGCAGCATTTGCGCATATCATCAAACTCTGCATTTTGAATCTCGATACCTTCTTCGTGTGCGGGTGGGGAACGAAGTTCTTGTACATGAATATCTGTATGTTAAAAAATGCAATGCGAAGATTGCCCATCAGCTGAAAGACGAGTTCATTCGTACACTCATCCTTATACCTAAGTTTTTCAGGTACGTCCTCTAGCCATCGATTCAAATTCGAACTCATGCACGCGACGACCTTGGTGATATCCTCCTTCTCGTTAGCGTTTTTGAGTGAGTGCAGCGACTGAGTAATTTGTCCCTGGATGTTGTACAGCTTAACCATGTGATTAAAATAAAGCACGCTGTACTCCTCTTCAGCTCCACACTCTTCCGGCAGCAGCTTGGGGAGTTCCAGGTTGAGATTTTCGTCCTTAAAGAGGATGCGTCTGCCGTACGCTGCACTAAGCGACCTATCAAAGAGGTATATGCAATAGAAAGCGCGATTGCGAGCTTCTCTCTCGTTATCTCCGAGGTCCGTCTGCTGCATGTGCAGGCCCATGTCCTCGGCAATGACGAGCGCCGCACCGTTCAAGTTCCAGCTGCTCTTGAGATGCGCAGAGCGCTGCACGAACATCTGAAGCAAAATGAGTGCCTGTATGTCCTCCAGCGTGGCAGCCGACAAGCTGTAATCGGGTGATTTCCTTTTGTACGTAGCGAGGAAGCTACTTCCCGACAAGAATCTAAATCGTTCAGGCTGATTCAGAACTCTGGGGTCATCGCAGTAGAGCGCACCTAGTGCACACACGAGTATAAGTATGCTAGCGAACTTTCTCTCCAGCTTCCTGTGCCGCACTTCTGCCACAAAGCGCTTCTTGTTGAGGAGCGGAAGAGTGCTGTTGACTTTCTCGAAGTATATCTCCACCAGCAGCATGTACAGCCTCTCGTCTCCAAAATCCTCATTTGAGTATGGATCGATGTAGCTGTCTTCCTCGAGATGCTTGTGCGGACTCCAATATTCAGGTCTCTGCTGGGTGGAAAGCGGGGGTGTAGACGGGCCTGCAGAATAAGACTTAAGCGTCTTGAGTATGCCCTTCACACCTCTGAAGTAGCGGTGTTCCTGTTCTTCGTGAAGACCACTGTCGTCGTCCGAGTCGCTGGGATGCTCTAATTCGTCATCTTCATGACCTATTTTTGAAGGGTTTTGCGGGAGGGAAGAAGTGGACGGTGTGTCCAGCTGAGTGCTTGCAAGGGACGAACTCAAACCGGAGTCCGAATCCACCCGTCTCCGCTTGGGTGGCATAATAGCCGTGGTGCTCGCCACACTCTCCACATCCTCGTGCAAATTTCGCCCTGGCGCCAATCTCTCCACTAATGCCTCGTATAGCGACACCTTATAAAGCGTGAGAGACGGCGATGCACAAGCGATATAAAAGCTCACCTTGCGTTCTAATTCGCGCACGTAGGCCACTGTGAATCCTCGCTTTGGTGCTGGATCGTTGTATGAGCACTCCAGGTGGAACGTCTTGCAATTGCTGCAAATCTCCGGGAATTTAACAGGGCCATTGCACCTAGAAACTGTCAGCGGAGATCACCGGAAATGGCAGAGCCCACTTGATCTTCTTCTTTCTGGAAATCGTGAGGATCAGCGCTGAGATAAGAGTCTCTGCTTACCTGCAACCATCACCTGGGGAGTTGCATAAGCATTGGAATATTACCCCTTCACGCTCAGCTCACACGCTCTCGTTGGTCTTTCCCTCTCCACTTCATGCCCCGCATTTCTCTCCATTGTTATGGAAGAGTGTAATCGTCGCGCCGATAAGAAAATCATGAAATTTTTAAATCACAGGAAATTTTGGCGTCATGCGTTGACTGGATATAAAATTGGCTGTAATAGGATAGGTTGGGTGTTGGACATAGGTACATTATCTCATGCGCTCTTTGTCAATCTATAGGCCATAACACCGAATGGCTCAACTTGGACATCTTCTAAAGTGCCGGTCGCATTGCCTACACCTAAGCCCCAGGCATCTCCGTCTTTTTGCCACATGTCGATGAGGTTGTATGTACCTTGCCTGTCACTGTCCTCATAGTCGATACCTCTGAACACCTCATCGAAGCGCACAGCAGTAGACTGTTGTTGAGAGGAAGTGTTGAGCACAGCAATAGCATACACATCGCCTGACAACGCCGCCAACCAAAGCTGCAGGTCGCCATCACCAACTTGACGCTTCCACACTCTGCGTGCGGTGCTGCCGAATTTATCTTGATTCACATCGATCACGGCCTTGTTTCTTAGAATTTCCAGGCTTTCATCATCGATGGTGTCCAGATTAGCGCCAATCATTAGAGGCGACTTCATGAATGCCCACATGGTGAAGTGTGATTTGGATTGTGTAACTGTAAGGTTTCCAACACCTACTTCCAGACTATCGAGGTCATTCCAAGCGCCAGTATGAGCTTTCTGTCCCAATGATGCTGATTTCTCGAGGATATTTGTAACAGAGCAGTGGTACCCTGCCAATGGGCAATCGAGACCTTCATCACCCTTGCAAGGACAGCGCGCGTCTTCCCCCGTGAATTTGTCAGTGATATCACCTGTAGTTCTCCAGGAATTTGCAATTGTCGGTGCGAATTTCCAAGGGGAATCTTCTCCCCAGTTGCACATTGCGTAGACAATGGGACGACCAGTGGCATTGAGTGCCTGTGACATGGCGTTGTATCTATCGTAGCTCAGTTTCTGATTGCCTGCTTGTCCCTGGTTGAAGCAATTGTCGTACTTCAGCAGATCTATCCCCCAATCCGCGTAGCTCGTCGCGTCTTCCGTCTCATATCCGAGCGATGCTGGATTCTGACCACAAGTCTGCGTCCCCGCGGAAGAATAGATCCCAACTTTCATCTCTTGCGCGTGGATTTGGTCAGCTACGCTCTTGATTCCGTCTGGGAATTTGTCCATGTTGTAACTAAGCTTGTTTGTGTCGGGATCTCTAGCGTCGGCTTGCCAGCAGTCATCTATGCCGACGTAATTGTATCCGAGATCCCTGAGGCCGAGATCGACTAGTTTCTGGGCAGACTGGAGAATAACATCCTGATCTATATCGCATGCGAATGTGTTCCAGCTGTGTTTTGTGCTTTGTGTAAGAGTATGTTGGTGGTGAGGAGGCTAGAAGCACGAACCTGTTCCAGCCCATCTGGGGCGTTATGGCCACGCCATTATTCAAGGCCGCTGCTGAGCCTAAGAGGCCTACTATGGCTGTCCTTGTGAGTGTACGATACATTTGGATGTTTGGAATGAAGATGATCTAAAGCAAGAGATGTGGTATGGGCTTGAATAATAAATATACAGCAGCATGTGATACCAATATTCATTTATGCAAGTTTGGTTTATTCACTATACGTCATCAGATCAGATCTGATAGTGGCCCTGGAACTCCTCCAAGGAGCCCGGAGTAACAGACTCCGTTGGAAGATCTCCGATGTGATTTTGAAAGATATATAATACTTTTAAATCCTATTTCTGCTTGAAAGTGAGCATTGAACGAAACTAAGATTTGATCATATTATCAAACGAATGCATGGCTTGGTCAGTTGCAGACCATCTTGATACAGCGTAATGTGAGCGTGACTTAATAATCACAGAAGCCTGTCCTTGCCGTGCTCACAAGACTTGCCACACTCATAACACTCATCACACTTACACCCGGCTAAAATTACGGTTTTCCACGCCAATGTTTAAATAATACAACTGCGATACTCAGTAGTTATAATGCGAGACCTGACAGAAAAATCTAAACAATGCCAATCATGAGAAGAATAAGTATAAAATCGTCGGTGTAGGCGAGTGGGGAAAGGTAAAACATACTAGAGATCAGCAACAGCCTGACTAGAACTGTCCTCGGCTTCGTAGTAGCTCCTCTTTGAGTTCAATCATCTCTTCTTTAAGCTTGACAATTTTTTCCTGAAGAGCACTGCGCTCTGACTTAAGTTTATCTTGTTCGGCTGTGAGTGTCTCGACCTTGGTTTCTAGCTCGGTGAGCCATAATTTTTTTCGCGTTCGGCTGCGCAGAGCCGCGCTACGGTTGCGTTCGAGAGCAAGAGATTTGCGTTCCTCCGTGCTCAGTTTAACGCCGTCGGCGTTGACGCGCAAAGACTTATCGCCGACCCTGCCCTTGAAATGCGTCAGCGGCGGCAAAGTACAATCATTCCACCCACTACCGGCTTCATCAGTGGTGGTGCATCGGGAATCTTTTGCCATGGTTTGCTGGCGGTGGTAGGTGGGACAGCGAGATCGAATGTTTTTGGGATGACTACAGTGTTTGATAAAGCTTCATTCGTTTCTGAGGAGGCTGTAGCCGTGTTGGAAGTCTCAGCGCTCGGATGTGATTTGTCATCAACATTCAGAAAGTTAAAGTTCAAAGCGGGAAAACCGAATTCATCAGGTGCTCTGAAATTGTCAGCGTTAATCTCTCCACCCTCAAACCCGGCCAACGTGCCGTACCAAGATTTTGGATTCTTATCGTTGTATTCATTATAGGCGCCAAAGTAGATATCACCATTGCGGCAGATATCGCTGTCAGGATTAGGCTCTCCCGTACTGACAACCTCTTCCATCCAGAGACCGAGACAGATGACGGCCTGCTGAAAAGAATACACAAACGTGTGTCATTCATTCGTGAAATGATATTATATCATGAATCATATGCAAAAAAAAAAAAAAAAAAAGCATTGTATTTCAATGACAAAAGCTTATAATTTCAAGATGATGCTCGTTGGGAGGTACTATTAATGGAAAATGTCGGTGTTTTTCTTTAACAATTTTCTCTCTAGCTATGTCCTCGTTCAAGCGCGTAGCTAGTCAGCTCAGCTACTGTCTTTCTCAGATCATCTATTTCATTTTTCAGCAGCTGCCTCTCGTCTTTCAATGCCTGCTGCTCCGTGTAAAGCATATCTACCTCTTCTTGGAGATTGAGAGTCCACTGGCGCTTGCGCTGACGACAGCGAGCTGCAGCACTCTTGTTCCTATCCATTGTAATTTTCCTGCGCTCCTCCTTGCTCAATTCGCGACCATCCTCGCCGAACTGAAGGCTTATATCTCCGCGTCGGCCAACAGGCTTCATCAGTGGCGGAATGTCGTTGTTATCCAAGTTGTGCGATGTTCTGCGAGACTTCTTGGTCGGGCTGCTGCGTTCGCTGCTCGCGCTATCAGTGTATGACGAGGGCTGCGATTGTGTGGCGGCTTGTAGGCGTGTGAGGGGCTGTGTAGCGTTAGGCTGCGTTTGTGGTATAATTGTTTCAGGCTTAATTTGCGAGATATTCGAGATATTCAACGTGTGAGGCGTTGCTGTTGCCACACTAATTAGATCAGTGTGAATCAGTCCCACTAACAAACTCACCTTGCAGATCAACTTGGTGGGGATAAAGCTGGTTGAAATTGTTCATGTTATGCTCCTTCCAAGACTCCTCAAAGACATTCACTTCGTCTTTTATCGGCTGCATTGTTTGTATAGGGAGATGGCTTAGGGAATTTATCGAGTTTGGGAACATTTTGGTTGTCTATGTAAGCCTTTGTTTTGCTAAATGTGATTTTATTTTTTGACTTGGTCGATCTTTCGAATCCAAAGTGACGGGTTCGGGATCTATATAATCAGTAAATCTTAATTTGATTTGTGATTTGAAGGAGTGCAATTAATATTTCAATGGGTAATGCTAGTAGTACATGCTTTGGTATATGCTTGTAGTGTTCTATCTCGCGCTCTGCCTGGACCGATACATTGATGAAACTGGCGTGGCTCAATTCGTGCATTAGAGGGTTTATGTGATTATAGGACTAACTGCGCAATTATCAGTTCGACGCATATCTCACTCACTCATATCAAACCTTATGCGCTGTAAAGGGTGCTAAAGTGCTTCGCAATACACACATCAAATGTTACCAAATGTTACCAAATCTCAGATATACTCAAATCATCTTTGGAAAATCATCGAGCGTAGGTGATTGCACGTCACAATCATCGGGGGTTTGAAATATTCAAACTTGCTTTCTCTCTTTGCTTTCTCTTGTAATTCTCAATAAAATTCTTTTTGGACATAAAGAGTTGTGAGTAATATTGTGAATTAGAGTGTTATGTGCCTAATGAGAGTTTGCCATTGTTGATTCAGTATGTTTGTTCGTGTGCCTGGAAGATTGGGCAGGGAGTCAAATACAGAAAGTACTGCTAGGGCTACCAGTGTAGAAAATCATGATTTGCTACGCCTGAGTGTATGTTGTGCATGCCGATAGCCTCGTGACTAAGAACGAGGGTATTCAGAACCAGCAGTCAGCATCAAGATCAACTGAATGCACCGACAGCTTGGAAAATAAGTAGCTTTTGAGGGTAATCAGCTGAGCAAAAATGTGTACACCGTTAGCCGCGTGACTAGGAACGAGGGTAGCGGTGTTCGTGAAACACAACAAAGGCAAGGTGCGAGTCACGTGAGCCAGAGAAAATCGGCCGCTGCTGCGGTATTAAAGCGGAGCGTGCTTTTCCCTTTCTTCTTTGCGGTAAAACTTGGGGCCATAGCAAGACAGGTATAACCCTTTCTCCGTAAACAAAATACGCTACTCTTAGTAAGCTTTATCTCCACTCATTCGACTCTCTCTGAACTTCAAATAAACCTGGCATTCCGTTCAAAGTCCGCTTTGGCGTTACTCCTATCAGGTTTGCTATGATCACTTGATCTCCCTAACCTCAACGACCAAGACGAAGCAGTCCGCAAACGTTGTACTCGGCGCTTAGATCATCCGAATGATCCAATTTTTGCATCGAGAACTCAAATCCGTGTGCTGCCCAACAAATGTAATATCCACAATACAGTATACTTACAATACCCATATGCGTGGTAATTACATAACTGTCTGAGTCATCGTAACGTCTGGTTAGTGGTTAGTGGTTGCCGGTATCTCCACAAAGCTGGCAAGCGTGAAAGCTTAGTTGCGTGCTTACTTACATCTCAAATACACTCAGTGTCCGCTATTACCATCCGATATCTATTAAGCCCGCACGCATGCACGCGCACATGCACGATGGCAAACCTTAACCAGACACATTCACCCTCATTATTTTAGCTGAGAAATTTTATCATTGCGAGCGTTCCACTCCATTACACCCTTTGGTCGCATTCGGCTGCCAAGTATCACGTCCGCCCATACACCCGCATTACGTCAAAGCAGCGAGAAAAGGAAACGAGGCTATCTCAGTGCAGTAGCTTTCCAGGTCTATTCCCACACCACGATCATTCGTTCCTGAGTTTTTTTTTTTGCTAGTTTATGCCTTGACCGTGGTCAAGGAAAGAGGTCCAAACCAGCCGATCCAGGGCACAAGAATAACCCAAAACCATATTATAGTCATGTAACTTAAAACTAGAATTCACTGCGAGTATTACGCTATTCTCTCCTTAACGAATGTCCTCACCTCAAAATGTAGCGCCCCAAACGGTCTGCAGGAACGGCACGATGACCCGGATGTGACATCTTAAAATGACAGATTGCGGGACGAAAAGATGGGCCATCAACATTATACACACGGGGAGCACCTTTTAGGATCTTTAGAACAAATTAATGCTTTCAGCGCGTGTTATTTCTAACTTTTCCCCATTGGCCGAAAGACAATGGACATTCTCAGTCGCGGAACTTGAGTGGATAGAGAGCGAGATAAGGTCACATCCAGTACAACATCGAGGAACCCCACATGAAACAAACGCTATTAGAGAAACTATTACAAGACGGCAAACATGATTACAAAGGGGAGTACAACATGCTGGACGACCTCTTTTATATGGAAGTAAAGGAGGGCGAAATGGAGAGGGACAATGAGTATGACCATGAATACAACCATGAGTATGAGGATGAGAACGTGAATGAGAATAAGAACAAGAATAAGAATGAGAACGAGGGGAAGCAGTGTAACGCAGATCATCATCAACGTCTACTCGACAAATTCCAGCATATTCAGAACCAGATAGCACCTCAATGCAGCCAAAAGAAAAGAATAAGACGTACTCTCAAAGACCCTAAGCATCCAAAACCAGCAATACCACGTCCACGCAAGTGAGTAGACAATGCGCTGACAACCTTGTCTAATACATGTCAGCGCCTGGATAATCTATCGCTCACACAAAAGCAAAGAGTTGAGAGAAGCAGCTGTATCGCAACCCACCAACAGACCAGATTCGCGTGCAATCTCAGCAACTGTGTCCGACCTGTGGCAGAAAGAGGCCGAGGAAGTCAAAGAGAAGTTCACTGAGCTAGCAAAAGATGAGAAGAGGATGCACAGGACACTGTGGCCCGACTACAAATACCAGCCACGTAAAGCCGGTCGACCGCGCCAACTCCGCCATCCTCTGAAACGTCACAAACTGGCCAAACCCCAAAAAGATGCCATTAATTCGGCAGCTCCACCACCTCCACCACGCAAGAAGAGGAGCGAGAGTAGATGCCGTGGCAGACCTCGCAATGAAGCTATGCATTCGCGTGCACAGAGTGACGTTTTGACCGTAAAGAAACCGTTATACAATCCCAACGTCGTCTACAATCCCCCTGTTACACCAATACCGCCAACGATGCTAACGCACTTGCTCACTACCACGCCAATTGCTAATGATACACTGCCAATACTCGATTCTTTGCCCTCTAGCCCCCTGCCATACCAACCAGGTTTCTGGGAAAGCCCACTCGGCAGCCCTCCAAGCATCTATCCTAGCAGCCAGTCTGAGTACCTCAACAGTCCACGAGATTTGAACATAGCTATATCCGCGCTTGAATATTCACCAACCGACGTTAACGTTAACGACGCCTCAGATCTATTTGCAGACATAGAAGCATTATTTAACAAACAGCAAACGAATCATGATCAAGCAAGCTGCTTCTTCAACGTATCCCAGATTATTTGAATGAACGCATCACGTAGACTAAAATATACATCTTCATATTGTTAAAGAAAAGTACGAATACAAATAAGTTACTGCTATAGCTGAAATCGTCTGGCTCTGTCCTCCCTCTCTTCATCATCATTTAACGTCCGAGCGGCATCAAGGAGATAATCAATGCTAGCCTTGCTCTGCTGCTGATGCTGTTGATTTAATTGACTAACCGAGTTCAACGGATCCACATTTGCAGAGATAGTTCTTCCAGGCGGTAATGGTCGTGGCAGCTGCGATATTTGTGACTTCCTGTCGCTTTCAGTGCTTGAGCTTTTGAAACCGACATTTGGGTTAGTGAAGGGTATCCGGTCAAATTGGCTTATATGGCTTTCATGTAGGGGAGTTGGAAAAAATGGCATAGTGGCCAATGATCCAAGTGGAACTATAGGATGTGATGTTTGTTGAATTTTGCTAGTAGGTTGCTGCTTTTGTACACGATGGGTTTTCGAAGAAGATGCAGATGATGTTGACATTGTTGACGTTGATGGTGCAAGAGAGGTACTTTCGCTCTCATGCTCATAAATCCTATTGCGTATCGCTTTATTTTCGTTTCTCACTCTTATCCTAACGCCCTGACTGGCGAGGCATCTAGTCAAGTAGCTAGACTCTGACATTCCAGGAAAGTTCTTTGGATTGTGAACTGTGAACACATTTGATATTGCGCTGGCGACTTCTATGACGTCAAGATTACGCCTTTCGAAGAGTCTGAAGTGGAGTTTGAAGTGTCCTTCTTGCCGCACAGATATGTGATTCCAAATACAGAATGAACCGTCTACGAAGTGGAATTAGTCAGTCCTTTTAGGCTATGCTCGTAAGTCATACTATCCTTACCCTTGCCATGCTCATCTTTGAGCTTCGTAGGAGTTTGGACGGTGATTCCGGCGGTGGCCCGAACGTTTCTTTGGCTGTAAACTTCTTCGAGGCTGCCATGTGGATTTATAAGAGTTGCTGTCATAAATAATGACGTTGATTGCAGAAACTCGCTAGAGTGGGCGTCAGCGGATCCAATTCATGTTGATCTCAAAAATCACGGACCTCTTATCCACTTCGTCTGTATAGAGTTGTATGATTGGCGGAGGATCTATCGGTCTCCTATCGACTATCAAACGTTCTGTGAGTACCGAATTGGAGTGGGCGGATAGACGCACCTTTTTCTTTGAAGGAGCATACGCGAGCGTTCTCTGCATGCTGCCTTATATCGACAGTGTAGGCGCTGCATTGTTGCTCGATAAGCTAGATTTCTTCCCCAAAGATAAGATCCTCACGGTGCTTTTGCGCGCATATCTCTGGGCAGATGGCTTGCAAACTTATAGCCACTGCCGAGCTTGGGCTTTAAACTTCGCTCAAAAGAGCTCGTATTGCTTTGCCGCTTGGCCATGGTGGTGCAGATTAAACGTTGTCGATCGTCCTGAGAATTGGATACAATCATTTGGGGCGATGGTGATCATTCATTTCAAAAATCACTTTTCAATTATAAATCACTTTTATATAACAGCTTCGCTGTAAGGCTTCATTATATCAGCTTCTACTTTTTATTCTGTGTATTGGATAAAATTTCCAACTTATAAGACATCAGATTTGCTATGATGCAACACCGCAAAGAGACTTGAGGCTGCATATTAAATTCTTTCAATAGTCTCCTCTTTAACGTCACCACTGTATCCAAATCACTCTTTGTATAACGTTTATCTCATGGAGTATGGAATGAATAGGCCTCTTTTAGTAGCTTTTTGTATTGAATAATAGGCCTAAACTCGCATCTCACGTCTCGACCAGAAAATAGTGGATTTTCAGTTCAGTTACAGGTGACCAAGACTGCTCTTTGATACAGAGTTGAATGAAAAGCAGCCTCTTGTATTCTTATACCTCTCTTGGCTGTCGCTTACCTATATTGTTTACGACATCGTCAAAGTAATGGATGGGTCATAAAGAGGCGAAGAGAAAGTACTACTGTACTTATAATATGCTGCAGCTAGATGATTCAAAGTGTTACTAATTAATTCAATTATATCTAATTAATTCAATTATATCATGCACGGAGCCTTTATGGTCATCAACGACGAACCAAGAAAAGGGAACCGTTAAAGCGAGCCGTCAGGACCACTTTCGCCGCTTTGCATGTCACAATTCATTCGCGTCGCAAACGAAGGCCCCTCAGTGTATCGTGTAGATCACTTACTCATGCCATATATTAGGTGGATGCAAAAACGCGACTTACCGGTACAAACTCGTTCGTGCACGTACTAATTGGTATCATAAACTTTCCCATTTTTTACGAGGGGGTGATAAATTACTCTTTGTTCGAGAAAGTTTCTACTGTCAATACTTCACCAATCAAACGTCAAAGGTTTCACGTTTATCCGCAACAATTGTGAGTTGAGTAGGGTTACAACGAATTGCAGCCTTTGTTCTTCTATTAGACTCTCATCATTCGCATTAGATCCCCACTACTCAGTGACTGGATCTTCAGAAACATGATCAATCCCAGCAATCTTGTTGGAAATCTGATTGAAACAATGAGACAAACTCGCTTGAATATCAATGACCAAACAGTATAATGAGTATAAGACATTGGATTTACCTCCAATGTTACGTAAAGCACGGTGATATGAAAGAGAGTTGTTTGCCGTGCAGCTCAGCACGCTGTAAGATCCACAATCAAGCCATGTATTGCAAACTGGAAGCTTGCGTCGTATCTCGAGCAGCTCGGTCTTATGCAATTGCAATTTTCGAGAAAAGCGGTTCTCAAAATCCTAATTATCCGCGTGTATGTATTCGCAGTTAGTTACTAGAGCTATCTGGTCATCAGTATCTCCTCATCTTCCCATCTTCCAATCCTGTGCGCAAACTCTAAAGCATCGATGAGCACATTCTCGGAACCAGCAAGGAATTAAAATTTGTAGAGCTCGTGACCGATACAAAAGACAAGCAGCAGCAGCTGCTACAGTGACCGCTGTTTTCACCTGGCCTCGTAGATCTATGATGTACAGCATACAACGCACAATGCGCATCAAACTTCGTCCAGACTAAAAGCTGAACTATAATACAGGGGACGAACTGGCTGAGATGAGCGCAGGTAGAAGAATCAAAACGTAATCTCGTAATCTGACTGGCTTTTTGGATAAAATGGTCTTTTCTAATTTCTCCAGAATGCGCCATCCATTCCTCAAACCAGTAATTTCGCAACTCGGAAACACCGACATATAAACGCGACTAAAACATTTCACAGTCAAATAAATGCGCACACCTGCGATAGACATCAACCAG